CTTAGTCTCACTTGGCGATCCGATCTGATCGTGCCGGGCCGCGGGCCGAAGCTCCGGCCTGTCGCAAGGGACGGGGCGTCAACTCTCACGGCAATGGTGATGGAAGAGGAAGTGCCAACTGAGTCATCATCAAGACCCGGATTTGTTCTTTGAAATGGTCGCAATTCCAGAACCATGCTTCAAGAATTAAGAAGGCGGAGATCCGCAGCTATTGAGGGTTGGGATTGTCCCTTACTAACCTTCATCTACCCGGGTTTTGATTGTGGCTCAACTAGGGAGAAAAAAAAGAGGTGCGTGGTTGAAGTGCCAGGGTATTGAACAGAAAGTCAAGAATCTGACGAAATGGCAGGGACGGATAAGCGGGGAGAGCAATTTACTGAAGTTTACACACCTGAAATGAGGCCACCTCAGGGAAGGAACCGTCCTTTGGGGGAGGGCCGGTCGCAAGCCCAACATCTTCAGGCCCATCCTTTCATCTCTCATAACCGAGTTCTTAGGCTTACTGGGCAACGCTAGGCAGACCTACGTCTCAAGTTCAAAGGCATGTTCATGGATGTCTTTTGAAGTATGGACGCTACCAATCTAAGCCAAGGCAAAGCTTTTCTGTACGCCCCTATGAGTGGCAAGGGACGCGCACACTGAACTGCCCCGGTGAGCTCGCATTCAAGAGGAAACTCTTGGCCTTGCCACAGGAAAACGCGCAAGTGTCCAACTTTACATGAAACATCATTCTGGAAGTGCCCAAATCCCTCCGCGTGGGACATAAGTCTGCATCTCAAAATGAGTTGGACACCTCCAAGTGCTCAGATTCGTCCCTATTATTTTGGAACGCTACGGGGGTTGGATCCAAACAAGATGGACTTCGCCTTGAAGCCTGAGCTATCCCCGGACGCCAATTTCCTTACGTGTTGAAGGCCCCGGAGGACAGAAGTTGGCAATCAATCTTCATGGGAACCCCCTAAAAGTGGGCGGTTGTCTTCACCTTCGTTCCCGTGACGTTTCCTTTCGGCTTGCCGTTAAAGGCTCCGAATTTGAGGAATTTTAACACAAGGAGCATATATGAAACAATGCCTGGCTGCTTTAACGGCAGCTTGGCTACCTTCCACCAAATTGCAATTCGCTCTGTTCGGGATCTCAACGGATTGATTCGATTTCGAAACGTGAATACCAACAGACAATGGTTTCAAGCATGGTTTCTTAGGTGGTGCAAGATTTCGCCCATCCACAGTAGGTGATAGATAGATTTCTCTAGTAGATCAGGAAACCAGGTCAACAAGGGCCATCTATGTTCTTCCAAATTTCCAAACAACCAAAAGGGACACCTATGGTCACAGCGATTTCCCTCCAAAAACCGGAGCGGCAAGACTTTGCGTTGGGCACAAAACTGGAACGGGCCGACTAGTTGTGTCGCAGCGACTTGGGATGCTCAAAGCCCGCGGAAAAAGAAAAAAAGGACCTCCCCGCACTGCAAAAAAAGGGGGGGGGGGTTCCACCCAAAAGGAGATCACCTAAACAGAGATTGATCGTGTTGGGCTTCCTTTCAGCTAGGACTCGTTGGTGGCTTCAACAAAGCCACCCTATCTCGTTGGCCTAAAGCGATATCTCCAGCTCGACCCTTGCGCCCGGCCGAAAGGAGGTGGATTAAAAGATAGCATGGCGAGAGGCTAATGGCCGACCCCGTTCAGAACACGCGTCCGACGTCCCACGGCGCGGAAAGCGCTAAGCCAAAGAAACCCCCTGCAACGAAGTGAAAGCGTGACAGTCAATATGTGTGGCCCCAACGGACATGGGAATTTGGTGAGTAAATGGTAACTTGTTAAGTTCGACCGATGCCACAGCAGGTGACAAGTAAGTATGGACCGTTACTCACGTCATTGTCCTCTCCTGACCTGTCTCTTCTCAGCGAGCGGTTCAGGGAATTCAAACATCGTCTCTGCAACTAGCAAGGTTCTGTGCTGTTCAACCATGTAGATGGAGAAAATCCGCTGTGCACCCATGAAACTCTATGAATCTTGGGAACATCGCCTACAGAGTTTGAAGATTCGGATCTTGCCCACCACCAAACCCCCTAGCGACAAGGTCGGAAGCCCAATCCTGACTTTGTTCGTCGGGTTTCGGGGTTCCTGGAGGCTTCCCGCATGGGAATATTCCTTGGGAACATGTTCCGCCTAATTCACAGGTTGATTCAATGTTTCCGGATTTCCCCATTCTACTGATGTAGGCTCTTATAGTGGACAGGCTGCTTTGCGGATACACTCTAGAAAACACCGACAAGGATCGACCGTCCTTTTGCCGAGTAAATGTCTTCAAAAGGTCTCAACAGTGGATTCCAAACCGTTAAGGCTGGGGAAGTCTTGTGACTGCTTGGAATGGATTCATGGGGAGTTCCTTCGATTAGCCTTGGCCTCCTGCCAATAAACTCGAAGTTGACATTGCCCAAAGTCTGGCGCAGCAGTTCGGCAACACAATTCAATCTACAGTAATGGTCCATTGAAGTGGCCAGTTTCCAACCAAACGAACCCAAAAAAGACCTTTTTGACCGGACCTCTTGGAGGAACGACTCGGAACCCCTCCCAGAAAAAACAAACAATAGAACCAATGTATATCCAGCTCGCGGGACCGGAGTCGTGAAACCGCGCCGTGAAACCGCGCGGGATGGATTCCTTCGCAGTGAACCTTGGGCCTTCGGAGCTGAATGAGCACTCCGAAGGCCCAAGATTTCTCAAGGGCTCCCTGTTCCGGAAAAGAAAAAAAAACGTCGCGGCCAAAAAATCCATTTGGCTGTGGGTCAGAACACTTTTTCCCCTGGTGAACATCAAAATAGGTGGCAAATGGATGTTCATCCACCCAAAATGGGATCCCATAGATGATCCCGAGGACCTTGCGCTCTTGAAGCCCGCGTTGATTTCAGGGGTTTAACCCAGGGAGCCCCTCCGAGTCGAACGGCAAGGAGTACCGTCCGACCAACGCTCCCGGTGAACAGCTCCAACGAAACTCACACGAATTGTTCGCCCCCCTCGAAGCAAACAAAAACCGTGGACATGCTTCGGGGTGCGTTTTCTTCTTTCCTGCTTGTTGCGTCGACTTTTTGTTGTAAGCTCAAAATCCCTGCGGGTGGCAGTCTTCAAGAGGTGTCTGTTGGAGAATCAAAGCTGAACCTATCGACTCAACACATCTGGAGCCGGGTGCTTGTTGCAAAATTTTGGAGTGGGCCGGTGGGAAGCCGACTTTTGAGCAGTCAGCCATGAATCCCATGACAGGTTCACTAATTCAGCATGCGTGGGTCTGCGTTTTTTGAGGCTACCCTCTTTGGATTGGTTTCTAACCTCCTCCAGCGGAGAGGTTAGAATAAGGCTACCCTTTTTGGTGGTAGTCTATTTTTAGTAGGGGAGCCGAATCTCCCAACCGAAAAAAGAAACGGTGAGACAGGGCACCTGGGGGACCGATTGGTCCAAAGAGAAGCCAGGCGAAGCCGAAGGAGAACGCATGTCGGGTTTCGGGAGTCCAAGAACTTGCGTCAAGCGCATCGTTGGAAAGGCTCCAAAGGTTATGGAGCCATAGCAAGCCGACGAAGGCTACCTTAGCCAGGCTACAAAGGTCATAATTTCTGACGCGAGGTAAGGAAGTTTCCATCAAAACTCCTCTGCTTCCTCCCCAAGCGTGTGGAAGGTTCACCTTTTTTTGCGGCCTTTACTTGGAACTGCCGGAAACCCTCAAAAACAGACCACCCTAGACCTTTCAGCTGCGCACCCGCCGGGGGGGGATTGTGGGGGGCGAGCTGGCCAGCCGGCACGGGGCCATGCGCGAGGCACGTGGCCTCAAAGCGGAATGCGAAGCATCCGAAGGGGGAGGGGAGGCGGCATCTGGTTGTGCTTCGGATTATTTTATTTATTTATTCTTGTGGGGGGAAGGAGGGGTTTGCTCTTCTATTTTTGGGGGAGGGGGGAGTAGTTAGTGATTTTTGAAGGGAAGGGAGAAGAGGGGAGGGGAAGGCAGGAGAGGGGAGGGGAAGGCAGGAGAGGGGAGGGGAAGGCAGGAGAAAGGAGAGGGAGGGAAGGGAGGGAAGGGAGCGAGGACTTCTTTGGTTTGTTTTTTGGGGTGGGGGCCAAAGCCTTGGGCTGATTTCAAACATAAGGCCCAAATTCACGCTTACTGACACCACAAACTAGTGGTTCAAACGGTGTGAACAAGGCCTTTTTGCCCCTCAGGTCAAATCAGTACCAAAAAAGGACCAACAAGGAGAACGGGGGGGGAGTCCGGAAGCCAAAAAAAGAGTCCAAACCGTTTACAAGACCATTGTCAGGCACGAGCTTGCCCTGCAAATCTGTTCTAAGTGGTTGACATGACCTGCAGTCTCCCTGACCCTCCAGCAATGGGTTGCAATACCCTGTGTTGCCCACCCCAACCTCAACGGCCCCAAGTGCCTCTGCCTCGCTGCAGTGGCACTGGAGCTTTGGCCAAACAAGTTGTGCCAAGTGTTACTCACATCCCCAGTTTGGACCCAGAAAAAACAAGGAAAACTTTGGGGCCACTAAAAAATGGACCAACCTGGCGAAACCAAAACATCGGCTTCGGGCATCTGAGGCTCAAACAGGAGTCTAAACCAGAGTTCTTCAACGATCTTTTTGGATTTGCCACCATCTCGAACTCACTTCGCACGACACCCATAAGATGAATCGTGAAGACTCCAGCATACACTCCCAGACCAGCGAATTTCCATGAAATGGAAAAAACTGAAGGTGTGGGATTCGGCCTTTGAGGATTCATCGCATGGGAATCCTTTGGCATTTTGTGACAATTCCTCACTCAAATTTGGAAACCGCCGCTTTCTGCTGGGCAGGATATGCTGATTGCTCCAGCAACAATAACGCTGGAAAAGCTCGAGGCATGCTATGGTAAGCATTCGAACGTCGTTCAGGAACAGTATAAGTATAGGCTGTATAGGTGTAGGTAAAGGACTTGCTGAAAGCTGACACTATAAGTCTCTTGCCGAGTGGCATTCAGCACTTCCATAGTCCCTCCTCCGTTGAAGTCGATCCATCACTGCCCTGGGCTCGGACGTCCCACCCCGAACCCAGCCACCCAGCTCCGACCGACCCCTTGGGCTGCGCTTGGCCTGAAATTTGACTGTCAAAACCGCTTTGGGAGCCCATTTTGGGGTGCTGTGCACCACCCAAATTAGTCGGGAGTCTAGTGGAGATTGGGATGTTCACTGGGGGCACCGGGATTTCGACCCATGGCCATTTTGGGGCTGCAGAAACCACACTGGTGTGGCCAAATTGAACCGTGACCCCTTTGCAATTAGGCACAGAGTGGTTTCAGGAAAGAACCCTACGCTGATTGTTTGTTCCCGTGCAGGAGCGCAGAAACTTTGGGGTCTTTTTGCTAGTCCCGACCCTTGAAAGTCATTCACACAAAAAACCTGTAAATTGTCCCAGTAACGGGTGGAGTCTAATCCGAGGTCACCAAAGCGTCAACACCAGGCAACCTTCTGATAGAATCTCCTGGTTTCCTAGAATGGAAATCCAGCTTCTTAAACAAACGGGCATCTTGGCTTTACATGGCCCTGAAAAGGCTATATGGAGACTCGCCCTTGATGCCGAAGGATTCAAGCCGCGCAGACAACAAATAGGACCAAAGAAAACAGCTCGCTTGTCGAGCACCCAAATGCTGAAGCAACCCCTGTTTGATTGATATTGATATGTGTGTGTGTGTGAGTTGCTTCTCTTGTGGTTTCGAGGGCATGCAAATAACGTTGGGAGAGTTGAACCTCCACAGTCATCTGAAAGGGCAGGCAAACTTGGGCTCGGCCTTCATCAAAAAGTAGCCCTTGGGCTCAATGATTGGTGCTTGCGCCGCCAGTCGCTAGTTCTCATGCACCCGCGCTCCCTTTCTCTTGGGGCCCTGGACAGAGTCCTTGCGAGCTTTGCTTCGTCGGCGCGAGCCGTCCTGCGCGGCCGGAAGTGCGCGAACCGGGAGAAAGCGCATCAGGAGGGGCTTCCAGTTGCCGCTGTGACCTGGGGGGAAATTCCCCTGTTTACCTGAGGTGGGAATTGGAAGCACGCAAAATGATCTAAGACTGTTCCTGCTGTTGAGAGGCAAATAGGGGGAAATAAGGGTGTATGTTTGGGGCCATGAGTCATTTCCCTTCAAACCCTTAAACAATTCTATCCGCACCCGCCTTTTGATTCTGTTCAGAGACCATTCTCCTCAGAAAATGGGCAAAGACATTGTGAATGAATGGGTGGTTGCTGAAGGAGGATGGGTGGAGAGAGAACGGGGAAGCAACCATTGAATCCAAGGGTCGGCTATCTACTCCCCCCAAAATCACGCCAATCATGAGAACAGGTTTACAGGAGAATCTCGAGAATCTAAGGTGCTTGTCCAAAGTTGGTCATCTTAAGCCGGCCCAAAGTAGCAATCCCGATTGAACCTTTTGGACTTAAGTCCTCGGTTGCTTTCTGCTCCCCTGCTAAAAGTTTAACTTTCAGTGATTTAATGGAAAACCCATTAGTTGGCAAAAAGTTAAAGTCCTAACATCCAAGCAAATGCACCAAAGAGTAGTCTTCCCAGGTTCCGCATTGACCTTGATAGGCAATTGACTCGCTTCCCATTTTTCGAGCTCGTTCCCCATGTCCCTCCTAAATGGACGATAGACTATAGACAACTCAGAAATTTTGACCGCACCTCATATGCCAAGGGAACAACACGTGAGCGCTGAAAACATAACCTCATATAAAGGGTCCACCCATTCTCTTATGATCATGACTTAATTTGATTTTTTGAACACCCCAAAACCACAATCCCAGTAACTAAGTATTTCGGCCTGGGTCAAGATAGGGCTACCCCCAAGCTGTTTGATTGTCCTTGTGGTTTAGAGCTAAAATGCCAACCAACAGGGGTGCCCTTATTTTAGAAAAACAACACACGCACACAAAAAAAATGGGATGCTTGTAGTTTCCGGGTTTGCATGGCGTGCATCTCCAAATCCGCTCTAATCAACCGCCGCGCCTCAAACGTGCGTCGGAGATATGCTTCACCTCAGGGAAGAAAACCGTCAGAAGCAACTGGGTGTTGATCCCAAACACCAATTACTCTGTTTGCCCAACTGGGCGTTTTTACAATTAAGCTTGCCCCAGGTTTACCCACAACCCGAGTTTGCCCCAACCGGGCGCGATTGTCAACCGGGCTTCATGATTCCCAAAGCCTGGCTACAAAAATATGTGAACTCCCAAAAGCGCAACGGCATGGTACCACCCAGTGCTTGCTAAGTTGAAAAACGGAAAGCGGACCAGGCTATGGGAACCTGATGGTGGGGGAGCAGGGCGGGAAGGGGGAGGGGGCGGATGGGTCCTTGAAGTAAAGTTTAGGGTTCTGAGCCCCCCCCCCAAAAAAAAAAAAAAACTAAAGAAATCCGGCATCGTGGGAAGCTCAGCCCCCTTAAAAAAGTTGAATCATAGAGAGCTCCGGTAGCTGTCGTGAACAAGCCCAGATGAGCCACAATCAAACCTTGGGATTAAAGGGTCCACCTCAACTACATGGCAAAGGATCAAGACACACCTATTTCTGGTGGGGACTCTTCAGTCCCCAAATAACCTGCAACAGGTTCGGATCGTGGCTCAGAACCCGAACTGGAGCATGAGTTGCTAAGTTGGAACCTTTGATGAAGCTGTTCACGTGGACCTTTGGTGAGGTATCAAAAACAGTTGAGCTCTACACCTCTTCGTAAGGGTAAAAAAACACAACGAAAAAGCAAAAATCTGCAGATAACTAATCACAGTGAAGTAAACCCAGGCGTATGTCCAAAGGAATTTAAGCCTTCCTGGCTGCCACCCCCAAAATGGGACTCCATGCGTATGCAGACAGTGAACTGTCAGTCTGGTTTCTGGGACAAAAACAAAATACAATGTTGCAAGAACCTGCGAACAAGCCTGACTCCCTCATGGAAAATCGAGACGTGGACCCATCTGGGCAAGTTGCATTGATGGTTTGGAAGATAGGGGGGGTCCTATTTACCATCTACAGGGAGCTCACAACTTTCTGGACTCGAACCGTTTTCGACCGATCCGTTCGGGAAGGACACGGTGGACCAGGGTTGCGCCCAAACGCAAAACTGAGTTGATTTGGCGTTTCTGGCCCTAGAAGCACCCTTCAAGCCACTTTTAAGGGCCAGGGCTGCCAAAACGCAAAAACCCGATTCTGAGAGGTTATTTGCGTTTTTGCACCGGGGTTTCACCCAACCGGCTGCGGAAGATGCGGGCGTTCGATTCCACCCCCACCCCCCCCGCTCGTCAATTCTGCGTACCGCAACACAACACGCGAGACACGGTTTTTCAGCGACTCAACACGACTCGAAACGGGCACCCCCACAACCACCACAGGACACGACACGGACCTCAACCATTTCAAGGCCTTCTGGAGGGTCCCTGACACAGAATAAGGTAAAACGAACCAAACCTCAACCAAGGATTGCCTGAAATTCTAGCCTCACTGGGTTGGTCTAACTGACCCAACGTAGAAAGTGGGACCCGTTTGGCGTTGGAACAGCCGGTCTTGGATCTGCCAAGCTTCTGCGGATTCCGATCGGAGCACGGACAGAGCCGAACAGCTGAAAGATGAAAAGCTGAACAAGAACAACACCGATATGGTCAGCTTATGGGAAGCCCACCCCCAAACCACGACCCGGCCAAAATCGAAGAAAATGGAGCCTCAACTTCGTGGCGCTATGGTTGCATCTCCCAAGCCCGGCTTGGGGGCTTCGGGGAAGGGTTGGTCCCCGCGCTCTCGAAGCAAGTGGCAAAAGATCGAACGCCAAGCAATTCGAAGCCAAGTGGCCATGAGCGTACCTCGCCAGGCGGTAAGTAGCGTTGAAAGTCTAGGTGTAAGAAATTCGACCACACTGGGGATGTAAGGGAATGCCAAAAGTCATTGACTTGTGCCATGATTTCATTGAGCTTCAAATGCACATGAGCCCTGGACAAAACTCGAGATGCCGGTCGTCGAAAGCCCCCTAAAAGGGTTCATGACTAGCCTTACCCCAAGTCGGGGCAGCAAACGTGAGCCCCGGACAAAATCGCAAGTGTTCTGGGAGACTTGGGTGATAAACCGTAAACTACCCATCATATTGCAGTTGCTCACATGTGTCGTGGAGCCTCCAACGACGTGATGTCGCTAACTGGACAGTGAGATCAAGGACACTTAACAATTGTTGAGTTTGACGCTAGGCCCAAGTGCAACTCAAAACAAACCAAACACAAGACCTGCTTGGAAGTAGCTGCTTTTCATGGACATAGCGCAGCTGCCCCTTTCTGTGTGTTGATTTGAATTGGGATTTGTTTATCCAGGACCTACCCTTGGAAAAGACAGTGACTGCTGAACGAATGCTATATTCCGCGCACGTTGCTCGGGAGACCCCGGTCTGTGCAAGACACTTTCCAGTTCTTGCCAGCATACCAGGGGGTGGACTCTGTGTGTTTCGTCTCAAATCGGTTCACACAGAAACAACACGCTCACGCTCGCTGAAGCTGCCACTCCGAACGAAACTGTAGCAGTGCATTCAGCGCATTCCTGATCCGCTTTGTCTATGGTTACTCACCCCCTTCGCCTCAAGAGCACCCCACACATTTCCACAAGGGGCTGTTCCGCCAGGCCCTCAAGTGATCTCGTGGGATGGCCTTGGGTTAGCATGATGGAGAGGAGGGCACTGCCCCAGGTGTAATATGCTCTGGGTAAGCTGGTGTTGGGAAAGCACAATCGCAGGCGAAACACATGCCCGGCAAATCTCCATCCGAAACACCGGCACCTCCAAGGCTCTAGAACCCAAAAGCAGTCGGGCGAGGAACCCTTGGAGCGACAGTCATAATATTCCCCCAATCAACCATAGCATCAAGCGGAACTGTGTCCATTGGCCATCTGATGTTGCTGTGTTTGGTTCGTCAATGGCTGACTCGCCTAGGACCTCGCAATTAATGGTTAATCCCTTGTTGACCTTAGCTGAAAATTGTCAAAATGTTGACCACCCTGACCCCTTTAGGAGATACAGGTGCCTGTTTGATGAGGATCACTTTGCGCAACATGTACGAATGCACGTGCAATAAATAAGTCAGTAACATAATACATAAATAGATGATTCAACAATGAAACTAACAAAAAATACAGAGAGAAATCCATAAACAAATAAATAAATACGTCAATGAAGGCGAACAACCTCTATAATTCATTGCCTGCCTGCTTCGGGCGCCACTTTCCCTCGGTTTTTCAGAAACAAAAGGACACCATTTTTCCAGTGAGTGACACGGAGATCAAGGCCGCCTCTTGCAGAGAGCTGTCCCAGAAAGAAAAGTCTTCAGGTTGCGGCTTGGGTTTCCATGCCTGGCACCACACGAGACTTCCAGACTTGGAAGGGGTGTCTCTCTTTTTTTGAGTTCAACCGTTTTACGGGTGGGCTTAAAAGAGAAGCCCATTTTGGGGATCTTAGGGGTTGGCTTAAAAGAGAAGAAGCCCATTTTGGGGGGCCCTTACCACATCTGGAGACACATTCGAGCACGAAGTGGATCCCTAAGCACGGTGGGCTCTTGTTTGTTTCCTTTTAGAACCCAATTTGGATGCCTCTTTGGGGGATCACCACTTTGCAGACAACCCCGTATTTTATAGGGAATGCATATGCAGGGACACCCTTTGTGGGGTTGGTTCAAAGGAAAGGAAACCAGGAACCAACTGGGAAGTCCCTATAAGACATCCAAAATTCGCTGGCCGTTGAGTAGAACCAAACTGAAATCAGTCCCATCCTCTTCACACCAACCAAAATGCACACCCAGGAAAATACACCATTCTTGGAGGTATCCCACATTTGAAGACATTTTCTGCCACGTCAACTTGCCAAGCGCTCGCGAGCGAACGCGAGCGAACGCGAGCGAACGCTGGACACGCCTGCAGGTGGTGGCAGTGTACGGGCAACGATTCTTCAGCCACCTGAGACCCAAGGGAAACAAATGGGTACGTCGTGAGTCTACTTACTCTTGGGCTGTGGGGTGTTGAGGGTACAGTTGGGTAGAAGTGAGAGTACAGTTGGGTAGAAGCAGATGGCAACCTCCGCGTGTAGGTTTTACCATCCTCTTTACTTGCAGACACAAACGAAATAGTGCCATCTACTTCTACCATAGTGACTTAGTGCTCGACGTTTGTGGTTCCTTGACAGGGAACCCAAGCGGAAAACCGCGTTTGGGGGTGCCTTACTTTTGGCATACATCATGCCCAAGTCGAGCCTAGATGGCCAGCCAGTTTTCTTCCGGTGACTGAGCAAAGTGTTTAAGGTTCCCATGTGAAAACTCCATTTCAACAAGACAAAAAGGAGTCACTGCCAAACCACAATGTCAGCATCGCGAACAGCCAATGTTGCAAAAGTCCAAAGCTCCACTACGTGAGTGTAAGCCAACTCTTTCACATCATCATGCCCTTTCGTCGGATGCTCTTCTCGAACAAGGCCTTTCTCCTAGGCTTCCAACATACCGCGTCCAACAGAAGCATTGCCAGCATACCACGATGTTGGCATAGGCGCTCAGTGTCTGATCCTCCAGCTGTACCATCATATGGCCATGGGTCAAAACCCCGTATCCCCAGTGAACATCCCAATCCCCACTAAAATAGACTAAAATGGGTGGTGGACCTATCCCAAAATGGTACCATTGGTTTTAAACCATGGCCACATTGAAGTTGATGTCACCTTGTTGTTGCTGTAGCACTCAGTGGGTTTGGGCTTAATCAAACTACTCACAGGCACCGGACCTGCAGCGTGACCCCACATCTCTTCTTCTGACATGAGGAAAGCGCTTAATTATCCCCCATATTCTGTGGAAGATGATGAGCGGATGGCGACGCCCAGAAAGGTCATGGTCCTCTCACAAAGTTGGGTTGACATCTCCGTCAACTTGGCGGCTATAGGACGCGCTAGCATGCGACCACATTGAAGCTCCTATTATCTTAGACATGAGCTCAGCGTCTTTTCAGGTGCATCCTAGTGCCAGAGCCAATGTCATAGCTATGCCTCAGCAAAGGATTTGCACTGCGTTTGGCACGTTGCTTGACGCCATTTTGAGGAAGATGTCTCCATTAAAAAATATATGTGGACATAACGGGGCTTTATGTCCAGTACTCATGGTTGGGCCAAAACGAAGGATCCCTCTAAACTGGGACACCCCCCCTATTAGTCAACCAGTGCTTGATTAATCCTGGTTTCCCAAAGGAGTGTTCCCCCACGAAAAGTCTCAAACAAACAGGCTCTCAAATCTACACTGGAAACGTGCGCCGAAGACGTGCGCATATCCTCATTTTCGACCCATCCCCATCCCCAACTGATTGAAACGTCGTTTGGTGAGCCCCTTCAATACTTTTCCCTTGTGCCCGGTGCAAACCCTTGCCTCTATCGGCAAACCCTTACAAGTAGCTCTTGTGTGTCGGTTGGTCCCATTAAAACAATCCAAGCGTGATTGGTTTTTAATATGGGTGTGTCTTTTTTAAGGGACCCTGTTTTGGGGGGTGATTCTGATTTAGCGAGAACCCCCAGGGAAACCGCAATTTCTGGGGACCCCTACGTACTTTGAGACTCACCCATGTGGAGGAAATCAACTAAAAGAGAAAAAAGTGAAGGAACCCACCCCCGAGAAAATGTTGAGAGTTCCACCAAAAGCTCCGGCTGACAGGAATTCCCGAAAAAGCACAAACAGAGAATTAAAATCTGCCAGGGAAAGGACGCCCTTGCGTGCTCACACTAGGATCGAATCCGCATCGCCTTAAGTCTTCAAGTCTAACTCCAACAGAAAAACTGAACATCGAACTTTTATATGAGCATGTCGTTTTTAGGGGACTTTGCGAATATCATGGGTTGTCCCTCTTGGTGTCCAGAAGCGAAACCCACGAGAAAAAAGGGGCTCCGAACTGGATGTGGACAGGCAACCCCCTCCCCAAATCCATGGTGCTCTGTCTTTTTTGGGGTACCCCCCTTTTTAGGGGGGTTTTATCGGGAAACCACAAGGAGAAACCGCCATTTCGGGGAGGTCCCTTTGAATAAAGACACGCCCATTTTTCAGAAAATGCGAGAGTCGGCGGTTTTCCGGGGCCGGGGCTGCTTGCAGAGGGAGGTCCGCCGCAAATCGGGCGGCTGCTTCAGCTCCTGACAGTTCCACCCATGAGCTTCGGGTTCCTTCTGGTGACCCAATGCAACCTGAGCAGGGAACGCTCAGCTTACCCATTCAGTGCTAAAAACTGTTTGTGTAAGGGTTTGCGGACTCATCCGCACTTTCAGTGGATTTCCATGGGACAACTTTTGTTGCTTCTTGCGATTCCTATTTGGGGGCTTGCCCCCAACTCACGAGCACCACCGTGCTTTGGATGCTTTGTACCTTGGCCCATTCCCGAAAAAAGGGGGGAAAAAAGAAAAGAAATACGGGACGTGACTTGAGCGACCCCAAAAAGCCGTTAACTCGAAACATGGTTGCTGGTGACAGGGTTTGAGATCCGTTGGCACGCAGGTGGATGGGCTTCCCTGGGTGGACGGAAGCGCAAAGAATCATGTCAGTTTTGCATGGCGTGCGTGGAATGCTAAGAAGATTGTGCAATGCAAAAGCCCTCACAGCGCTTGCCGCAAAAACGCTTGACGTGCAGTCTGATAGTACCGCCACACCCACTGGCTCTTGACTTCCGGACACAATGAACCCCCACCGAAGGGACAGATCTTTAGCGAATATACATCTTCCAAAATGTTCGGCCATGGCCTGACCAACCTGTTTCAACCTGTTGGGGTATGCGGGTGGCCGCGTGGTTGAGTGCCCAAAACCTAAGGCCGGCGTTGCCCAGTTTGTCAGCAGGGCCAAGCGCAAACTTTGCCCCGCAGAGTGACAGAAGTCCAGAGAAGAGGGGTCCAACCTAACTTGAAAACAAAACAAGCCTTCTTCCGCCACACAACTTCCAACATGGGTCAGAATGGACCTTTGGGTCGAGTTGCATCTGGATGAATGAACCCTGGGTTCCCATGACCCTTCGTGTTTAGCAGAGGAAACCTCCCCTCTTGCAAAGGCCTTAAGGAGCGACCTGTTTCCCGCGGTCCCCGGCCCGGTCCAATGCGGAAGACGCGTTTGTTTGGGGTGTTCGTGAAGCTCAGTTCGCGAAATCAGCCGAGGTTCTAGGTCCACTTGTAGGGTCCACTCCTAGGAAACCTTACCTCCGTGAATTGTCTGTTCAGGTCTTCTGCCACAAAGCCACTTCTGGGAGGACACTTCTAAAGCAACAGGCGTAAAGAGAAACGAGGGGGGCAAGGCTCCAGCCACGCTTGACCCAAGTCCTAAGAAACCTTCCTCCAGGTCCCGGAACTCCCGTTTTCTCCTTAAGAAACGGGCCAGAGTCCTTTTGGAACCGATTCAATCCGCACCGCCGCACCGCACTCCTCCAGACTGTGAGCAAATGTACAGTCCGTCCCCTTGGCGCAGCAGTTCCTGGCCCATGCAAATCTGTACGCAGCTCACCCCCATTGACATGGGCAACTTAGCTTTCATCAAACCTGAAATACGGGAAGGCCCCAGTAAAGCACCTTCGTTGGGCATGCTTGTATACGATTTCCCCAGAAGCATTGTACCCTCGCGACAAACACGGAAGTGCCCTTGTGTGATCCAAAAAAGGTTGTGCGCCAAGCCATGGTTCATGGTTGCTTGAGTGTTTATACCAAGGGCTCCTTTGGGTGTCTCTTCTTGGACCCCCCCCCAAAAAAAAAAGTTCTTCCTTGTGGTTTCTCTTCAAGACCACACAAAAAGGTACCCTCAAAAAACGACACATCCACATCCGGCTCATACACTTTGAATTTGAAACATTTGAATTGCCAGCTCTAAACTTGAAGCTCGGGCATGCGATGCTGTCGGAAATTCGTTGACACTCTCCGCAAGTTCTTCCCTCCAAACATGCGCTTCTTGTGTAAACTTGGCTGCAGAGGAGCCGACGTACGTGGCAAGCTGACCCTAGTATTTGAGCATTCGCAAGGTCATCTCTAAGCCTGGTAGCTCGGCAATCCCCCCTCCCCAATCTTCGGACTTATCACTTCCTGAGTGGAGCGCCAAACGAAGTCCAAGCTTGTCGCCGGCCACCAACACGGTCCAAACCCAAAACGTCTAAAGTCCATGCGCTTTCGAGTGAGACTTTGAGCCACAACAGAAGACAAAACTACGGCAAAACGGACGCTGGGCACCTATCTAGCTTTGATCATGTGGAACACCGCAGATTTTTTGGCCCACATCTGTTCACTGAAATGGGTTGGTCTCCTTCTTTTTCATTTCTCAGCTATTCACTGAAATAGGTTTTTCTCCTTCTGTGTGTGTTTATTTAGTCTGCAGAACCTAACATGGTTTCGGAGGAGACCCCGTGTCAAAAGATACACCGTGCCCGTCCTTAGTGCGCTCGTTGAAGCCAACCCCAAAAGAGGATCTCACTCTCACGCAAGACACACCCATGGTGCTCCAACCCCGAGCCAAAGGCGGCAACTATTCGTATACAAGTGTGGGTCGGCGGCTTCCCATGTATATACAGCACATCAAATATCGCGTAAACTTGAAGCAAGTATGTGTAAGTTAGTGAGTGTATATAGTGAGTGTTGACTGAGAGTAAGTATGTGTAAGCCAGTGCGTGCACGTAAGCCGAGAGAGCAAGTATGTGCAAGTCAGTGAGTGTAAGTTGAGTGAGTGAATGTAAGGAGGACAAGGAAGGAGGAGCAGAAGGAGGAGGGAGGAGGAAGAGGGGGGGCGAAGAAGGAGAAGGCGGAGAGAGCGGCTCGGACGACGACAAGTAAAACTAAGAGCACTGTAAGACCCGCATGTCACAGGGAGTTCAACAATACCTCAGTTGTCGCCCCAGAAAGAAGGCATGTTCGAACTTTGGCACATGACCTCACAACAAGCCATGCCACTCAAAAAAGGGGCTTGCCCCGACCGGCCCCAGGCGCATGCTCGTCCTCTTCCAGAACATGCAGAGCTGGGTTTTTTGGAGCTGCCTCGCGCGCGTTTTCGCGCGACAACGTCTGGCGCGCGCGCGCGCGACTCCTATTCGGATTGTTTTTGACGATGGGGTTGCCAACCATGGGATGCTTGACCCAACATGTGCGGATATGGGTCAGGTGAGAGTGATCCCATCCCACCTATTGGATTGTTGCAGCGGCCTAAGCGCTCCAACTTGTTCAACAATCTCCGAGTTAAGTGGATATCCTGCACACGTATCCGACCTGTCCAGAACAGGGGGTCCAAAGCACGGGATGTTAGCTCTGCGCTCAACGAACATTGGTGTGGCGACCGGAAAGCAGAAGGGAAGCCAAATGAAATCTCTGAAGGAGACTCCTTGTCACATGCTTTTTGTGGGTCCAAATGATAAATCTAGTCTTGGCCCGCATCTGGGGTACACCGGATTCGCCTCCGCCCAAGAACCGACCTTCCAAATCCACAACCGACCCTAAACTGATCCCGCGGAAGGCGGTCAAGTTCCCCGCAAAGCCGGCCCAACTCCGGCCAAATCCCTCTAGAAACCGGTCAAATCCCCCTTACCACTGCTCCAACTTCCCTCCAGCCAATCAAGTCCTCCATTGAAAACCGGCCCGCGGAAACCGGCCAAATGAGCCCCCAGAAACCGGCCGAGCAAAAAAAAAATGCGGGAAAAAAGGTGCGGCTGCAACCACCTTGAGTGGCACCTATCTCTCCAACTTTTTTTGCGCCAGGTGAGTTCAGATTACTCAAAGACCCCACGAGACAAACTGGATTGGTCCTTCCCCTCCCGCAACCAGTCCAAATCTTTGCGAGGTGCGGAAACTGTGACACCCAGATCAATCCGGAGGACAGCAGAGGAATCCCCTATGAGTCGATTCCCCGCAGGGTAGGACGTCCGGAATCATGCCCTTTTGCCCGCAAATCCAACCCCTTTCCATGAGAAACCCTGGATACACAAACCATAGTCTTCGCAGCCCGCCAGTGAAAAGCCGAAGAAGCAGAACTCCATTTCTGCGTGAATCAAGATCAGTCTTCCGACAACTTAAACAAAGAAACATGCCACCAAACGGTGTCCACTCCTTTTTTGCCCCAAGCGGGCCGATTGTCGCGCCTCTTCAGAAGTTCTTTGTTCGTGTTACCCTTGGGTTCCTGAGCGAGCCATGAGGACCCGAGTCCTCGGAAGACAAAACACGGCTCTAGGAAGTCGGGATGGACCAAATGGCGGCCCAGTTTTCTGTTAGGGTTCGGCCTTCCGCGTCCTCAAAACTTCCAACCAGTTTTCATCTAAACTTCGCCACACGGAAGGAAGAGATCGGGAGAGTGGTTCTTCTCCACAAAAGGACCATGGATTTGTTGAATTTCCAACCCTCCAACATGGCTATGGGTCAAAACCCCGTACCCCCAGTGAACATCCCAATCCCCACTAAAATAGACTAAAATGAGTGGTGCACCTACCGCGAAATGGTACCATTGGTGTTGACACGGCCACATGGGTGTCTTAAAATAAACCCCGATCAACTGCCAACTTGAAGGGGCCCACAAGGTTTGGCCAAAGCGCAAGAACCCATTTTTGGCACCCCACCAAAACCCCCCTTTTACTAAACTGTTCCCTTGGCCCCTGCATAAATCCATTTATAACACGTGATAATAACCATAACAATAGTAATAATAACAATGGTAATCATAACAATAATAATGATAGTGATAAGTATAATGATAGTACAAACGCAACGGGCAATACCATGCTGCTGCCAGTAGCTTCGCTGTTGTTGTTTTGCCTGCGATGGTGCCGCCTGAGTGTCCGGATGGCAACGATGGGGTGACTCGTTGCAAGCAATTTTCATGGCCTCTGCTGGTGATTTCTATGTGTCAAGCACTTGTGGTGCTTTCATCCAGCAACAACTCTGAATTCCAAATACAAAGTAATCAGCCATCCATGTGCGCGTCCAGTGCCGCACAAAGTCGCCCAGGACAAATTATGTTCAAACTAACAGGAGGAATTAAAGCACCGGAACCAAATGGAAGCAACCCATCAGTTATTCAAAAGCAGAAAGGACGGGTGGGAATTGCAACCACCTGAAATACCATAGACCTTCCCAATGACTCGTTTTCGGAAAGAAAGAGGTTCCCCTTCCTGCAATCCTGGCACAAGGCAGAGGCTTTCAAACAGTGTGAGCCCCCATGAGGCACGAGAATGTCTGGTCTTGTGCGTTGAATTCCTTATGACGACCGACACTTTATGAACTTAAAACAACACAAAAGTATCTAAGAAAATGAAAAAAAAAACACTGGAAACGCCCTGGCGGGATAGAACATGGAAAAACGCCCTGTGGAAAGGAAGCTATGTGGTTTGGTCAGATGTTCGCGTTCGCAACCCCGTGACAGATTGAACGTTTTGTTTTGAATAGGACAGCAACTGGTTTTTGGCTTTAAACTTTTCTATGGCACGATTTTTTGACCAGCGGCCTCCTAGATTAAGATCGTCTCCTTCCGATCTTACTCTAGACACCGCACAGTCTGAACCATGGCGTCACTGGTTGGTGAAATTGGGTAGTCCTTCGTGCGAAGAGACAAAGCATGCGGTCGCCCAAATCAACCACATGTCCCCCTGAATGCGCGAATTCGGGGCCGCAGCAAGCTGCAGAGGCTCGGCCTGAGCGAATCGCGACGTCCAAGTGAATTCGAACAATTGGTTGATGTAGGTGCAATCCCAGCGGGTAAGAGAAAACCCTCACCTGAACCCGCGTCAGGTAAGTAATATGATAGCATGGTCACGGAACCTCCGACCCCGGAAGCTTGAAAAAAATAGTCACCGACCCGACGTGAACTCCCAACTCCCGTAAGTTGGGGTTCTCGCTTTGCTTCAGCTTTGCCCGGCTGCCCCGAAGCCTGCGGTCTCTTTGGGGGGTGCAGTGTGTCCAACTAGGAATCCGAGCACATTGGCGTGCTTCCATCGGCTTAAGGATCCAACTGACCCGGACTTCAACCGTACGGAACACCGGAAAGGAAAACCCGAAAGCTACTCCCCTGCAAATCAACATGGAACCAAAAAGCAGTGTCCATTTCCCAAATGGAGATTCCCATCCTACAAAGGGGGGGGAAGTGCTTTTTTGGGGGTGCTTTTTGGGGAGTAAGCTAACTGCAATGACAAAGGGTACACTCCCTCCAACAAAGGAAGCTGACAGGAGGGATTCCTCTTGGGGAACGCCCCTCTCCACTTCCATGGTTCTTGCAAGGACCAAAAGGTGGGCCTTCGGATTTGGACCCGAAACAAAACCAGGCTGGTTTCCTTGGGGTGTCCCTTCCCAAAGGGGGCGCTGCTGAAAAGAAGAAAAGCAAGTTTACCAAAAAACAAAGTCTTCCCCAACTCGTCGTTGTCGCGCGCACCTCGCTGAACACCATGGGCGCCTGGGCACCTCGACAGCGGGCGAGCTCTTCGCGAGCGAATCGCATCGATCTCTCTGGGCAAACGGACACGTGAGTTGGGTGTGTCTTTTTGTGGTGTTAAATGGAAACCACAACAAACCACTATTTCTTGTTATTTCCTTTTATTGCTTGTGGTGTGAAATGGCAACCACAAGGAACCACTACTTCTTCATGTCCTTTTTTTGGGGGGGGAGGGAGGGTCCACGAAGAAAAGACACACACACATGAAAACAGACATGGAACACGCCGGCCATGTTCAATTCAAACATACTTCACCACCCGAATGCCAGGAATCAACTCCCAAGAAAAGAACCTTCACACCCAAATGACGTCGCACCACCCCGAAGCATGTTGCTGTCATGTGCCCAGATCTCTGATGGTTCATTAAATCGTCCAAGGGAAACTCGGTTGCTTTCTGCTCCCCTGCTAAAAGGTTTAACTCTTAGTGGTTTAATGGGGGAAAAAAACATTCGTTGGCCAAAAGTTCTTCAGTCCGAACATCCTTTGCCAAAAGGCACCAGAGGAAAATACCAGTGAAAAAAAAGCAGGGTATCATCGCAAAGCACTCTAAAACGTTGCGACCCTCAACTTTCGGAGCAGTCCCAACAAAGGTCCCCGTGGAGTGCCGACTAAGGCCTCCGCCGTCCATGGGAAGAACTGGCAGATTGGCTCCTTGGCACGGTGGTAAATAGTACCCTTTTTGGGGTGGCTTTAAAACGCACAACTTGGCCCCTGGTGGCAAAAAACAACAACCATACTTTTTCTTCTGAGCAACCAGCCATGCGTTTGACCATTTGCAAACTGGTTTGCCCAAGAAACCGAATGACTTGAGCTTATTTCTATAAATGGCTTGGCCTTGCGCAAGCCCAATTTGGGAGAGCTTGCTTCAGGGTACCCTTTTAGGTGTCTCCGTCCATGAGGTGTCCCCGTATTTCCTAAGCAGAACCCCCTTCATGTAGCCCAGTTCCAGGGTGCTTTGCCTTTGTTCGCCAAAAAGAAACTTGTGCATTTCAGTAAAATGGTCTGCTCACAAAACTGTATGTGCGAGTTCGGGCTTTGAGAGTACCCATTGTGGGTTGGTTCAAAGGAGAAACCAACAGGCCACAAGGCCGCGGTAACTCGTCGCGGTGGGAGGGCTGCCAAGAAAGGAAAGAGGTCCCGGAACATCGCGATTGTTGTTGCGGTGTCCTTATTGAATCAAGGCGAGCAGGACACCCTGAAAAACGCAGGCGCCCATATCGATCCTTTTGGGTTTCAAGCTGTGAGAGAGAGAGAGAGAGAGAGTGTCCAAATCTCAACGCAAGCACCCATGGTCCCCCCACAACAAACAAGACTTTGCTGGGGAGATCTACCTGTCATTGGCGACGTGTTGCTTTCTCATGAGTGCTCTCTGGCCAGATGCCAAATGAACAGGAACCCTGAAACATGGTTGAGATAAACCCCTGGCAAGGGGTGGATGGCCATGCCGACCAACACCAAGCAACCAGGTCTTTTGACGTGGCACACGCCTGGGCCATGGGCCTCTGCCTGGAAAATGGTTCTGCAACTCTCTCTTCCCCGTGTAAACCGCACCAAGCGGTTTACCCAGAGTTGCCAACTGGATTGAGGCGTCTTTTACCCTGGATTGGTGAGCTTGCTATAACCAGTGCAAATACAATACCGTAGGCGGAAACACCCTGACACACATATTTTGAGGCTGTTTCTGGTTCAAACTGGGTTTACATGCATTGGACATCCTCCATGTGTAGAAGAACCGTTGAAATATCTTGGGATAGATGAAAGGCCGCGGGGCCAAATAAGCACCCGGAATGCTACAAGCTCCCTGTTGGGCCTTGAAACCAAGTCAAGCCATGGGAAAGTAATACAAGTGAGTCACAATCAAAACCTGGTGCTAATATGCTCTACCCAGAACCATGCAAAGAATTCAGAAGGCGGCGATCCGCACCCAAATATGGCCGTGGGTCCAAATCCCAATCGTACCCCCAGTGAACAATCCAACCACTAAAATAGGTTCTAAAATGGGTGGTGAATTCACCTACCCCAAAATGGGATCCCAATTGGTTTTGACAACCACAGCCATATGGCTGGGATTGTCCCTTACCCGAGTTTTGAGCAAGAGGCTGTCTCTCCCCTGGGGCATGGGCCCAGTTCGGCCCAGAGCTTCAGCTTGGGGAAGTCGTAATCTTGCCCGGGCGTGCCTGGCCGCTCGGATTCGGATGCCAACCCGCTCCTCGTTTAGACATCGCTCCTTGGGCTGCCCGTTTTCTGATCCCCCGCTAAAAGTGACGAACTTTTGGTGGGTTAAATGGAAACTACCACTAAACACAAAAGAGCTAAAAGGCTAAGGAACCAGTGTAGGGTGTCAAAGGAATAAACAATGCAGCGGTTGTTCCCATTTTGTACAGACTAAACAACATGGTGAGTTTATTTTGTGTTGTTCCAAGACAACTATTGGTTGTAGCCTCCACACCTCCAAAGACACCAATCGGCTATGACTAGTAGCTGGAAAATTATGTCATGGTCAAGTCCTTTCGAATTTGGTCAAAGCAAGTGAGAGAGGCTCAGCCTACCCTAAGGTCTAGAAAACGGTTTGGATGCCCTTTTTGTGGATTTCACCAGGTGTTCCTGTTGCTTTTTCATAATAATCTTTCAGTCCTTTCAGGGTGGATCCGCAAAAACCCGCATCCAAACCTTGACCAATCATTTGTGATTTGCTTGCGAAATCAGAAAGGAATGGATCTGCAAACGCTGCAGGCGCGCTTTACGGTGCAGAGTGGTTGGGAGGGGGCTCCCAAGTCCATTTTTCTCGTGGACTTCCCGTCATCTTTGGCCCCAATGCCATGGCTTGGGCTGGAAAACGGCACTGGAGGTCTGGAAGTCGCGTGAAGCCCATCGGGACACGCAGAACTTTGCGCCATAGGAGAGCAATGAGGACTTGCAGAGCCAAAGAATCCGGAGCACGTCAAGATCATGGACCCACAAGGCTGGCTATGGAGAGGGGGGTGTAACTCCCTTAGCAAAACCCTTGAGTAAGGCCTTGCTAAGGGCTTCTCCTTGGCTTATCCTGGCCCCGATAAGAGGGACCTGAACACGGGGTGTCACAACTCCCACCTTGGCTTTAGAAACATTCAGTGTGCGAGCTCGGAGGGTGCCATCTTGAGCGAATCGAAGGTCCTGGACGCATGCCCATCACAAGTTTACTGCAGTTGATGCTGCACTGGGATTTGACCCCCCAGATTCATCAACCCAGGCTTGTTAGAGGGTGGTTCCACCAAAAATGATCCATGTGCACATTCCCTGGGACCAAGCCGTATTCATCAACCTTCCCCTCCCCTGGTTGGTTTGGCTTCTTCCGATTTGCTTCCGTCCGACCGATCCCGCGCCAAATCCCGGGAACCGAACCGAAGCTCGGGGTCCCCTTGGACCCGCGGCTTCTCCCCGCGGCCTGGGAGAAGCGCTTGCCACCTGAAGTGGTTCCGACCGAAGCCGCGAGCTCGAAACCGGTCATAGCCAACCGAAATTCCTAAGACGATCACCGAATGTTGTGCGGTTGGAGTCGCCATTCGAGCGAACACTGGCACATGCGAAACTCCAAATTCTCACATAAGCTGAGCTTCGGGGATCGGAATCTCCTTTGTGCGGCCCCTTTCTGGAGCAAACGGCCTTATCATGATCAGAGTAGCTGTTCATAAGTTCAAAGGAGACCACTGTCTGGTGGACCCCTCTCCTTCACAAAAATCTGAAGGCAATGTGCGCGGACTCCACAGGCATGCAGGAGAGAAAATCAAACTCAGGGCCTGCGCCTTGGCAAGGACCGGGCCGCGATGCCTTTTTGGAAGGAACCTTTCTGCGGGTAAGGGGTCTCCTGAAGTGAGTGTCTGAGTGCAAATCATGAAACTGAGTCCATCTATGGGCAAACAGAACTCTGTTGCCCTTTTCTCGGGCGTGTTCGTCTCGGAGCCCTTCATAAACAGGGCTGGGCCCGTATGACGTGTCTGGCCAAACCGAGTCTCCTTTCGAGCGTCCTTTTCGTCTAGGAAACTCCTTGCCTTGTTTCGGTATCATTTCTATTTTAGAGGCGGCACAAGTCCCTGGTATCACAGGCCCCGGAAACCAACCCCGGAGCAGAACGTGCTCCGATCCCACTGTCCAAAGTCCCGTTCTGGGTGTCATAACCATCCCTACCAACCACCAAGTAGAAGCTTGTCTTGACATGCGCACATGTGGAGGGTGTCTTTTTTTGGGGGACCCCACCTCTCCAGAGTAATGCTTGATGTTTTTGTTTTCCCTTGAAAACCGCAACAGAGGCGAGGGGGGGTCCTCCTCAACAAAGCTACACACACACGCCTGACATGTTCCACCATGTCCTTCCAGAACTCCCAGGAACGGCTCCCTCCTACGCGTTTCTTTGGACCCCCAGCTCCCCTGGCCTTCCGGCGCCCTTCCGGAAACTCGAGTCTGAGTCGTCTTGAGGCCCGGGCTCCGGGTCCCAGGTGCGCTCCAGGTTGCTCCATGCCGGCCTATCCGAGGCCGGCCCACCGGTCCCGTCCCAACCCCCGCCGCGGCTTTTTGGGGTTGGTGTTCAGCGCCTGGGAGGCAGCGGGGTGCTTTGCGAAGTCTGGGCTGGCCGTTTTCAGATCCCCCGCGAGAGGTGAAGAACTTTGAGTGGGTTAAATACGGAAATCCAGCCACAAAAGATCTAAAACGCGGTCTACACAATGCAAGCAACAAAAAAGATGGATATCCGCAGCTAGTTCTGGTTGGGACTGTAACCTTCATCTACCCTGGTTTTGGTTTTGGATCAAATGATACCTCTAAGTCTCAAAGTCCAGAAATTCGTGGAGTCAGGAATGGGATCAAAAAAAGAAACTATCCCACCAACAAACATAGAGGTGCACAGTTTGCTTCTGGCAGAATACTTTCCGCTGCTTAAGTCCAGTGGAAACATAAACATATTTCCAGTTATGATGGACTCCCTCTGAACCCAACAGTGGAAACAAAAACATATTCTTAAGGAAATGGAAGCAGGTCTCGAGGGGCAAATTGTCAAACAAGTTGCCATGGGGCATGAGATCGTTGCGCTTGGCTCGGGCTTCCCTTTACAAGGGCACCCCCCCGGCGACTCAACAGAAGACCGGTCCAGCATGCGGTGTAGGGGCGACCAAAGCGCAGCGGATCCGGCTCCTTAAGCAAGCTCTGCAAGTACCGTCTCCAAAAGCGCCCTTTCAGCAAAGAAGCGGGCTTCCTTCTGAAGACTCGTCAGAAGGGCACCAAAGTCAACCAAGAATTCCCAAGGCCGGCCTTAAAAAGTAATATATATATATATATATATGATTGAAAAAAAAAGAAAAACGTCCGCCCTGTTGCACCACAGGCCGCCGAAAGGGCCAGGTCTTTTTTTTTTCTGAGGCGCCGGGCAGCGGCATTGCGGCCGCGCCGTCCAGACCTGGAGAAGTGATCGAAGAACGGTGCCAAGGCTTCGATTTGCCTCACTTCGAGACTGGCCGGAGGAAAGTAGCTCGGTTGCGAAATCTGCTCCCCTGCTAAAAGTTTAACTCTTAGTGGTTTAATGGAAACAAAAATGATTAGTTGGCAAGATAAAGTCCTAACATCCAAGCAAAATGCACCAAAGGGCTTGCAGTCGAGTAGATTGGCCAAGTACAAGCTTTGTGCTTACCAATAAAATTGTCAGGACTGGCCAGTCCAAGAACTTGTTGTTTCCCGCTAAAATGGTCCAAACCCGACAAGTGACTAAAGCCCGCACTGCGTCAAAATGATCAAAGATGAAAGCACCCTAGAATATACAAAGGAGTCCCCAAAAATCTGAATTGAACCTTGGAGGACTCCCAACCGTATTGTTTTCTCGAGGGGTTGATTCCTTTTTGCATTCCGTTCAAGCATCCTTCTCTCAAAAATCGGATCTGTTTCCCCTTGATTTTTTATGGTTTCTTGCGCAGATTCGGACCCTTGGAAAGAATGGGGAAGCTTCCCTTACCCCAAAAAAATAGTGTTCGGATTGCTTTCCCTGAAAGGTACCCTCGAAGCAACACACACCCATGAGACGGGAATTCCGGAGTGGTTTTTTGGGAGCGGCTGCGTGCTTTCTGCGCGGATGGGTCAAACAAAAAGTAGTCGAGCAGGAATTGTTACCTATTAAACAACACCTCCTCCCAAAAGTTGAACGTCCAGGAACGGGGCCAACCCAGTTTCGGGCGGTGGTCCTGTGGCTTTCCTGTCAAACTAGCCCTAAAGAAGGAAGCTGAAAAAAGAACACGCCAAGTCAGGGTTATCTGGGTCTGTCCTTTTAAGGGGTACCACTTGTTGTTTTTTGTTCGTTTGACTGAGGAAAACCACCATTTTGGTTGTCCCCCTAAACAAAACACCGGCTCATCTGTCAAACGGCTCTTTTCGCTCAAACGGGCGGCAAGGTCACAGGCGCCGTCTCTTGAATGCCCACCTGACAGCCTGAAGTCTCCCAAAGACATGGGCGATCTTTCGATGTTTTGTTGCGCATGGACACACTCCTTAGGGTTGCTTTAGCCATCTTGTCGACATTTGCTTAAACCAAAGTGGCTTACACAAAACTCTCCTTGGTTCCTCTTTTGTTCCACAAAACCTCTTGGTCAGTTCCCTTTGGGTTCAAACAAAATCCTTTTGCCTGTTGGTCCTTTGGTTTCCCTTCTCCTTTTCAAGTTCCTTTACTTCCTGTTGGTTCTTCTCAACAGGGATCCTTTCATTATACACCTGAACATTCCCTTGTAAATCGTGGTGTCCCTTTAATTCGGTGGAAAAAGCCGCATATGTCAAATGGTTGCAACATGAATTTCTTTTTTGCGGAGCCCTGCTTAGCAACCTGCTTTTGGCTCTTGGAACAAACAAAAAAACTAAACCAAACCCTGCCCAGGCCCCAGGCTGATGTACGCAGGGCCCTGCTCTTCGAACACAGCCGCCATTGGCCTGGCGGAGAAGCCAATGGCCACCCTGAGGCACCATTCATGGAAGTGGACGTTCGAGGCCTTTTTCAAAAGGTGAACTTACAGGAGAATCTACGGGAAATGGCCCCAAAACAACCAAATTGAGCTGTTTTCCTGTAGACTTTCCTGTAACCCAACCCTGTGACTTTTGTTTCCTAGTTTCCGATGTGTGAATTACAAGTTGCCGCCATTCGCCCATGATTTCGCAAATAATTCCTGGTTCCAATGATCAAAGTGGACCTTGGGGGCCTTTTCAAGAAAACAGCAGTCTTCAAACTCCGTTTGGCTTTTCTTTGTCTGGTGGCTTTGGTTGGGCTCCTTTCTTGGTTCAACCTCGACACGGGCCTCAGTCTTCTGCTCGATTGAGCAGCACCAGGCGCGGGATCGACCCAGAAGCCAGAAAGAAAGAAAGAAAGAAAGAAAGAAAGAAAGAAAGGGATAGTTGCCCAAAGGAGCACCAGCAAACTGGAAAGCCGTTCCCTGGAAAACGCTCTAGGAAGCAAACGTTGAAAAACTCTTTCCAACGTTCCTCCCAGAAAATACAAAGGAGTTGGAATAGTGCAGGCGGCCAAATACCTTGAATGTGGTTGTGCAATCAAAGCAAATCACCTCCTGATCCTGGCATGTTCTCCCAAGTTGAACTATTCTCCCCCCTTCTACTGTTTGCAGGTTCTCAGGGAAGTTGGAACAAGTCAGCCACCGGTGGCTTCCTAGGCACTCTTTTCCGGTTCTGTCCTTCCCTGAGCCCCTGCAGGTGAGTTTGTCTTTTGGGGACCCTCTTTTGGTGTTGAAGTGAAACCAAAAGGCACACCGAAGCCAGCCATAAGTTGGCGAGCGTTGCCCCGTGGTTCGTCCTGGACAAACAAAAAAAGTTGTACCGGTGGACGCGGCTAAAAGTAAACTTATTGCTGGTTGAAAGTGAGAATGAAGGAAGGCCAAATATGGACGTGTCCTTTTTCGAGGGACCACTTGAAAACGCATCATTTTCGGGATCCCCTCAGAAAACACACCTCCATATGCAACACAATAACCAGGTAAGCAAGTCTCGCGATAGAGCTAGTTACAAGATTGCCCTTTGCAAAGGCTGCCCGTTTCGTTCTGCCCGGCTAAAGAAAGGACGCAACATAGTGGGAACCCAGGATAAATAAATGCCTTGATAAATAGGGGAAGGCCCCATTTTAGAGAGAAACCGGATCCCTTTTTGGGGATGTTCCCCGGAAGTAATCGCCGAGTGATCGATCCAAGGTGAACTGGTTGCGTACTGCTTGAGGGACACCCACAAGAGGTAGATTTCTTATAGAACTCCAAACCTACAAATAAAGAGGGCAGGTGGGTTTCTTAGGAAATGCATTGATGCAATTCCAGTGACCAATTTCCTCAATTTCGGTTTCTGTTCGGCGCACGCAACGGATCTATGTCAGGCTCTGATGTCTGCTCTTTCCGGTCGGGGTACCCTCTACCCCGTGGCAAAGCGATGTTTGCGCAACTTGCTGTTCGGGCCATAGGTCCTAGGTGAATTCTACTATTTCACCAACCTGACGGATATTCCCCACATAAAGCACCATTTGGGGTGAGGTCGTGTGTCGCTATTCACCCAGATAGAAGCACTGATTGATTCACAGGGAGCCCCAGGAAGGCCTTTCTGGCAAAGCAGCTTCAGCAAATGAGGCGTTTGGCGATCCACGATCCGCGGAGAGTAGAATCATGGTTCCACCACATGTAGCTTGGAAGGACACTTGAGACTTTCTAAGGTATTGCATTCAAAATGGCAAGCGTAGAAGAATGTTTGGTAGTTGCATGGTTCATGTCAATGTGAATTCTTAGAGTGGCAATGGCAATTTGGGCTCCGTTCCAACCTTAGGGAAGCTACCCAAGCAATGCACAAAGCATGGATTTCGCTGGCAAAAATTGGAAGAACAAAAAACAAGCTTGGGTTGGGACCCTTTCCCATAACGCATAAATATTTCGGGGGGTTGAAGGACCTCGACTGATGATTTCTTGCTTTCTCTCTTTTTCTCCATCTCTCTTTCCCGCTGTTCGCTCTCTATCTGTCTCTCTCTCGCCCTCCTGCTCGTGCCGTGCCGGCCTAAGAAAAACAGGGGCGCGCTGCGGAAACGCAGGTTAGCTTGAGCTTTGAGCCAACTGCGGAGCCAACTTTGAGCAAAAAATCGCTTGCACGAGCAAACAGCGGACGGGCGGCGGCTTTGGAAAAGAAGGGGTGACAAATGATCCGGGTAACTCACCGAGCTGTTCAACCATTCTTTTCAATTATCACCCATTTGCCCGGGGTTCTTTCGGTGGTTCTCTGGAAAAACGGATCTCTGGAAAAGGGGAAGCTCGCCCGAGAAAAACAAGGGGAGCTGGAACCTAGGATGCATCACTGAGAGTCTGTCTTGGGACCAACTACCCCAGGACAAATCGCCGTGGGACAGGTCGACAGGTCTGAGGCCTCACATGATTCTTGTGACCAACCTGCCCGCGAGGCAAGCAAAAATCAAGGGTTCGGAGCGCCCGCCCTTTGAGAGTGCCTGAGACATATGCCTTGTGACATGTCTGGTCCAAGCAGCTTTTTGTGGGCAGCGGTCATGGCTCCTTCTAAAGAAACCCTTGCAATGGATGTCTAAAATGCAAAATCAAAGGATCAAAGGGTTGTGTCCTTTTTGGAAAATAGATGGCCCTGGTAGATGATTGAACCACCCGTAAACCAGGGCCTTCCATTTCTTGGCAAACCAACCAAAAAGGACACCTATGATCAAAGGGTTGATGAGCATAGGAAGAACCCAAGATCACTGTGTCTTGGTTGCCCCCATCTTCAGTCCAGCGGCCGGCCAGCTCCTTTGACCGCGGCTCAGCTCCATGGTCAACCCCCCCCCCCGCCGCTGGGCAAGTTCGGCTTCATGCGCACAACGTATACCAGGGATTGAACCAACATGCTTGAACCAAGCATTGTGTTGTGGCCTTTGAACATTTCCAAGATATCCCTGATGGTGTAAGTGTAGACTTTTACCTTGCCCGTTTTGGTTAACACTTTTGGGCTTCGTACCTCCGTTGGAACAAATCCGTGCATAATTCCGATACCGTAGTCTAAAAGGACCACCCTAAATGGACCCAATCTGTTGATGGCAATCAACCTTTACACGCTAAGCATGTGCACTGGTGCTACGTATGGTAGGATGCGTCCATTGAGGGCTACCACCACTTGACATCAGAGTTGAGCTGGTCGGGCTCCTCAAGACCAAAATGCAACCACCATGTTCAACGTAAGCCGTTCAGTGGGGGGTTTCCATATCCTGTTTAGGTGTCCGAAAGTTCGATTGGAGGTGTGCAGTCAGAAACTGGTTGATGGTTGTCAACCCAGTCTCCACCTGCAGCGAAGCCAGGGAAGTCATAGCCCAAACAACAAGACATCTTCCATTTTGCGTGCTTAAAAGGGGCCAGAAGACGGGCAAGGATCAAAACACCATACCAATGTGTGACCCAAATCCTCGACCCCTTTCCGACGAAATGCGATTCAGGTTGGGACCATTCCCCGAGTCCCCCCAATGAAGCCTCACCCGTTTGGGGCTTGGTCACCCCCTTGAGGGTTGCATGGATTGGCTTTGAAGTTGAGGGGGAGGTGCAATCTTGACAAGCAACTTGAATTGTTCTCTTGTGAGAGTTCTCCTGCCCCGGTCAAACGCTGAAAACGTATCAATGATTCATCCTGGCGAATGACAGTTGCCATCGCGAAAAGGGGCCATGGAAAAATAAGAAACCATCACAACTAGCATGGCACTCGGAGCCTAAGGGATCGTGAATCCCAGTTCCCCATGTAGTAAGTAAGCAGCTAGTTCCTGGTTACTTATTATACAGGTAAATGGATCCACTGAGAATAATACCCCCCCCAGTTGATTAACTGGGCTGTCCTCAGATCCCCCGCTAAAAGTGAATAACTCTTAGTGGGTTCAATTCGGAAATCTAACTACTGAACCAAACCAGAAACCAAACCAAAAACCAAACCAAAAACCCGAAGCAACAACCAAGCTAAACACCAAACTCTTCACCAAACTTAAAAACCAAAAGAACCGTAGGTCGGGAACCTTTTTCAGAACCCCCGAACCCGCCCGTCTCAAGCCCCACAGCCCGCGACTGCACGGGCCTAGACCCGGCTGCCTCATGCCCAAGGCCTCGAACTCGGAAAATTCACTCGACCAAAAGTGCCCAATCTCTGGGATATGAAGCAGGGAACAAAATTGACTCTTGGCTTTTGGAGCCTCAATCCCAAAAACAAAAATATCTGAACAGAGAGACTCTGACTCTTGGAGCAGAGAAAACATGGAACAAAGACTCTGGACTTTTGGTATAGGTTTAGGGTTTAGGGTTTAGGGTTTAGGGCATAGGGTCTAGGGTTTAGAGTCTAGGGTTTAGGGAGCCTTAATCTCAAAAACAAAATCCTGGTACAAACATGCATTAGTGCCTGTTGCCAATTTTGTTCTGGAAATGGATCCCGTGCGGTGGCCCTGGACAGATTTGTTTGACCGAAACCCAGCCTGGCTACTTCCCAAAAAACCAGGTACCACCTGCCATTTTTTGGCCTGGTTGAGCGCTTCGGAATTGGGGAACCTGGACAATTCAAGGAGGAATCTACTTTGGCAGGAGTTTCAAGTGTGCTTGTTTGTTGCTTGCTTGCTTGCTTGCTTGCTTGCTTGCTGGCTGGCTGGCTGGCTGGCTGGCTGCTCGCAAAACAAAGCGGATTTGGGCAGAAAACAAATGCAAAACAAATGGCGCAAAGAATAAGAATATCCCTGCCTTTCCGAGCGCGGTACAGCCATGTCTTGTCCTTCCCTTTGGATTACCCTGGCTCAAGCGTCTTGCTCTTCTTGCCACTCGAACTTCGACATGTGGCGAGGCGGCCGAACACCTCACTTGACTCAAACTCAAACTCTGACGTTGCAGGAGTCTACAGCTTGGGACCTTGTTGCACGAAATGGAAAAGCCCATGAATCAAGGCGCCACAAGCAAACGGTCCCTTTCACTAGCTGGGACACAACCTCCTTGGAAGAAAAGGCCCGAACACCACCCAGCTTGACCAAGGAGCCCTAGAGGCTCAATCACAAACCACCCACTCCAAGAATCCGCTGGCGAAACTCTGAGGACAAGGAAGGCCAACTTGGAATGAGAACAATAAGTCTTTGGCCAGAGAACTGCTGGCAATTCCTGTCCTAGAAGTGGCTAAACAATTGGAAGGGAGTTGCGGTGTTGCAGACGAACTGAGTTCAGTTGCGATCTAGGAGCAAATGTGTGCAAACTTGCCGAGTGCCTCGAAGACGAGGTCGCGCTCGCGGGCGGGCAACGGCGACATGGGGCGAAACCTGCAGCTTGGACGGGTCGACCCCCGGTCCCCTGGATTTTGGGACATTTGGAGCTCGCCATGTCAATCCTGAATGGACCACACTCTGGCGTTGCTATCTCCAGTTGGCCATGGGTCAAAATCCAAATCGTACCCCCAGTGAACATTAACCAATCTCCACTTAAAATAGACTAAAATGCGTGGTGCACCTACCCCAAAATCGTACCATTGGTTTTGACCCACAGCCAGTTGACTAGGTCGAAGCCACGAAAATCGCTTGGCTTCCGGGGCGCTCAAGTTGCTACGGGGTAGATCGGATTTCCCCGAACACGATGCCAGAAAAGACCGCAACTGGAGTCATGACATCACCTATAGTCACCACCTCTATGTGCACACAACCCATGTTTGAGGCACTGACTCCAGGTAGTTCTTCCCCAAGGGCGAAGTCTGCACCCAGAAAACTTCAGATGCCGGGCTCGCCTTCTGAGGCTTTGGAAAGCAACGGGGACCAGGCGGGGGACTGCACGTGGCCCCTTTTGAGGCGGTGGAAATCCTAAGGTCAAGGCAAAAAGGTCGGGTCACAAGGAAAACGGGACCCTCTGGTGACCGCTCTCTTTTAAAAAAGTGTCATGGAACTGCAAATCCACTCCTGACTGCCTTAATCATCAACACCTGGTAACGATTGAAGAAAACCGGCGCCTAAGGTCCATTCACCGATTTATGCTGGGACTGTTCCCAAGAATTTCGAGCCGGTGGGGTACCGCTTGAAACAATCTTGAAACAAACATCGTAGCTCCCGTCCAACCACTAATTACCTAGAAACCCACCCAATTTCGAGGCCAATTCAAAATGGCTGGTGCACCTACCCCAAATTGTACCATTGGTTTTGCCGCACGGCCATATCGCCCCCATGTCTTGCGGCGCCTCCGGGCACTTTGCCGCTCTGCCCCGGCAGTGCGGTCTCCAGATGCGAGCCCGCGCTCGAGATCACGGCGGCTTGGAAAGACCTCCAAATTTTGGGGATGCCTTCAGAAGGTCCACTTTCCCATGCGCTGTTACAGAAAGCGGGTACTTGCCGCCTTGTCCTCTTTTTGGAAATATTAAACGAACACCTGATAGATTTCTTCACCGGGTTTTCTGCTGCGAAGCAGGTTCGTGGAGCCTCCTGATACTTCCCCGACAACGATATCACTCCACGCTAACAAACCACATTTTACATTGGCACAAACTGGCGATGTTAAAAGCTACCAAGCAGACTGTGACACCTAGGTTTCTTTCCCCAAGCAAGTGGGCCAAGACTGGCTCAACTCATGATTGGAAGCATGCCCTGAAAATGACTTATCTACCCCAAGTCCTTCATGACCCTTCAACATGAGGCAGTCCGAGTTCCCATTTTGGGACGACCAAAAAGAAACACCTGGAAACACCGCGGCTCCTAGGCAACCCCCTCGTTCCAGGTTCCATGACAATTGTTTTCCGGCGGGGAAAAAGAAAGAAACAAAGAAAGAAAAAAAAACAAGAAAGTCACAAAGGAAGGAAGGAAGGAAGGAAGGAAGGAAGGAAGGAAGGAAGGAAGGAAGGAAGGAAGGAAGGAAGGAAGGAAGGAAGGAAGGAAGGAAGGAAGGAAGGAGAAAAGAAAGAAGACTTGGTCCCACCCAACAAAGTTGTTGCTTTATGTACATGGCCTCGATTAAAAGTCGCACCCGGTGCGTGCTTGGAAAGTCTGCTCGGCCAATCCCAGAACCGCTGGTGGATGAATAGGGGTGTCTGAATGTACACCCAATCCGGTAGGTCAGCATTGGACATGATGCGCTCATTTGCTCAAGGGACCTGGTTGGTCTTGAGTACAACTAGCCAAAGGCAATATTGCTCACAATCACCTTAAAGGGTCCAATACTTGGCCCACATCTGGGGTATGCCGAAAATAGCATTATCTGCTTCATACTTCGTCTACCCTAAATCCGAAGCAGTTTTGGAGAGGCCCCAGATTAGTGGCTGCTCAGCTTCACTCTAATTGGTGGCTTGGCTTGGTGGCTTGGTGGTTAGGGCATGGTTTCCCAACCCTCTACGAGAACCAGGATATCACATCCAAATCCAAACTAATCCAAAACACCAACCCTGACGTGTTGACTGAGTTGATGAACTCGCAGTTCGCCTTTCCCGGGGTCTCGAACGCTGCGCTCTGTCGCCGGACTCTTTTCTCCGGCGAAAAACTGCAACGTCCCGCGTCTCAAATGCCACGGTTGCCGCGGTCCGTTCGTGTCGTCAGAGGCGCGAGCGTGGCGGCAAGGTCTTCACGTGGAAGGACAAGAAGCCTGCGTGACTTTCATTCTGGCGTGGGTTAGCTGCGTGATAGCCCTGCTTACCATGTGGGTTGGATGAACGTCAAACAACAGTGGGACATCCCCTGACAGGACGTTGGAGGCTACCCCTTGTGGGGTGCTTTGAAAGGGACACGTGAAGGAACCATCCCTTTTGCGGGTTCCCCTATGCACTAACTTCCACATATGTGCCATACAAGTCCGTGGATAAAACTTTCCGTGACCATCCCAACTGATTAGTGCACATGTGCCCCCTAATTTCTTCAAATACCCAATTGCCAATATTTGTCTGGGTATGGACCCTTGGTTTTCTTGGACAACTTGATTATGCTTTCAAACATCGGCACGGAAAAGACAACGAGTCGAAATGACTGATTGACAGTCAGAACAGCTCAAAGAAGTAACCGCGCGTATTTTTCGCAAGCGGATGCGCCATACCCTTCATCAACCCGCATGTTTAAGTAATGATGAGCCTCGGATGAAGAATCCAGCGTCACACATCAGGGCGAGTTAATTTACCCGGGTGTTGATCGTGGCTCACATGGTCACCTGGTTCTTGTGGGAAATTCCGTGAGTGTAATAGGTGGCTTGGAGTGGTGGCTCGCAGGAGGGCGGTTGCCCATGTACACCCAAGAGTCAGTTGTTTAAATCCAAATCCAAGTCGCAAATCCAACCCACCAATTAGGGTTCCTCCATTTGCTTAAGTCCCCTGGAAAAACAAAAACAACAACAGCATGTCCAGTAGTGATAGGTTCCCTTTAAGCCAACAGGGGGAAACTTGAACTGAACTTCCTGTTGGTGTTCCCCCAGTTGGGGAAAGGGAACATGCCTTTCTTAAGCATATGGCAGTGGCTCAAAATTCAGGAGCTAGGGTTACTTACGCAGGTTTCAATCCTTGGCTCTACTCACCAAGGCCATTTTTGTGCATCGATTTGAGCCACAGCCATATGGCCATGGGTCAAAACCCAGTAAACCCAGTGAACATCAACCAATCCCCACCAAAACAGGTTCTAAAATGGGTGGTGAATGGAAGGGTCACCTGCGCTTCCGGACGTAACGTAACCACGACCAAACCGATTCGGCAGAGCGGCGCGCTGCCAGGCCATCAGCCCAGGAGGCTCCGAAGATGCTGGGGCCCAGCTGGCCCCAGCCCGCCTAGGGCCAGCTGGTTGCAGTGGTCAAAACCGTGTTGGGATCCCATTTTAAGGTTGGTAAGTGAATTCACCCACCCGTTTTGAAACCTTTTTTGGTGAACATTGGGATGTCACCACCCATGGCTTCTTCTTAAAGTGGGGATTGGGATGTTCACTGGAAGTACGGGATTTTGACCCAATAGGTACCCAAAATGGGTTGCCCTGGTAAACGGAACCAAGGACTAAAACCAGCGGTCCATATCCTGGTGGCTCAACTTTGACCCACACCCACATCGCATGCGGAGAAGATGCGGCGCTTCAATCGGCGAGTTGTTCCACTGCTGAAAGCTAAGCCCAGATCAGGTTTGGGGGTGGCCTGAAGCTCTGGAGTCAGCTTCGAGCTCAAGTCCGGAGGTTCAGAGGTTCGGAGGTTCGGAGGTTCCTGGGTCCGGTGCCAGGTGTAAGCTTCAATTTCGAAGGTTCCGGGGTGGTCTGGTGCAGGCCAGTGAAAGGTTCAAGCAACGTTCCGGAGAGGTTCAAGGATGAACCTTGGGCGAAGCCCCCACAAAGCTGTGGCACATGGGCAAGCATGTGTCAACAATGAAAAGCGATACAGCGAACTGCCAAGAGCGATCCTATCTTGAAGCCTCTTTTCCCCAGCTGAAATCTTTGGGGTCTGCGGCCAGATAGGCTTTGGGTGGTCTGGGGCCTCTGGTTCCAGGGTTCCGCAAGGGTTCGCAGGGTTCCGGAGGTAAGGCTTCGCGGGGGTCCGTGAGGGCATGCTGTTGGGGGTATGACTTGAGCTTTTGTTTTGTTTGGCATTTTGCCCCCAAAAGCTGAAGGCGTATTAGGGGTCGATAGGCCCAAATAGCGATAAGGGGTGGTTTGGGCAGTTTTCAGGAAGGGTTCAAAAGGAGGGGTCCAAGGTGGTTCCGGAAGGATATCACTTGGGCTTGTGACAACACGATTTGCCGAAACAAATCGGGCACAGCGAATTCGGGATTCGTTCATTCGAGACGTTGGTTGTGCGAGGGGAACTGATATTTCGTGTACCCTGTTGCGCACCTTGGGTCAATGACCAGATTCAAAAGCCCTTTGCGTTCATATCCTCGGTAGTCGTATACACGTTTTGATGCGGGCTGGTAACCGGGGAGTTTCGAAACGGTGTGAGCGAGGAGGAGGTATTTGTGTTTCAGAGTTATGACATACAAGGCGTCTCATGGATTCCGGTCCTTCACGCGTCCATGGCTTTTGGCCACCCGCCTAACGAAGAACTACGCTCTCTTCGTTGGGAACCCATGAGGATCCCTCTAAAAGGAGCATGCCCTTGGACTGTGTTCCGTGGGCTCCATTTTGTGGATGGGAGGCCCCAAGGCAAGCAAGTCAAGAGGACCCTGCGAGGCCCCAAGACGCTTGGCTGGAACACTCGGCGACGCGAAAAGAATGAACATGCTATGAGCATGCTCGCCAATTGCCCCAATACCCATGCTTGAGGGGCATGGAGGGGGCGCGGAGATACATCCAAGTAGTCCGTTGTGTTTATTGCATTGCCAGATTTTGCCCAGGATTTGCCGATTTTGCTTCTCTGCCGTCCAACCGCAGAGTGTGAAACCTGTGACCGGTTCGATCGCCAGGGGCGATGGGAAACCAAAGGCTTCGAACCAAGGCCCCTGGCGATCTCCAGATATCTCCAGTTTCATCCCGGCCCCTGACCAAGGTACCGCAAGCGCCACAAGGTACCCAGGCGACAGGCAACTTGCAACCCATGAAGTCTCCTTGAAAAATCCAGGTCGCCCATGAAGTCTCCCATTTCCCATGCATGTGGCATGCCATATCCATGTGGCATGCCGCGGCCGAACCTGGAGCCAACTCAGCGACCGCGAGACTCCCAGGGCTTGAGGGAAAGGACTCGAAGCCCCACTAAAGACCGAAGCCCAGAACGTGGCCATGGGAAACAAAGGACATCCCTGTTTGTTGGGTAGTTGACTTTGTTGCAAGGGAACAACTCCCCAAAAAGAGAAAAAGCGAAGCATCCCCTCTGTTCTTTGGGGTAGTTTATATTTTTAAAGGACACACTCCCCCAACAGAAGAAAGAGCAGGAAAACACCCACGTCCCAAGTCTGAGCCGTCCGAGGTTGCCGAGAGGCCCATCCCATGTGTCCGCCGTCCTTTGTCTCCACCAGCAGCAGCCGGGGGTTCTGGCGGATCGTCTCGCGAGGCACCGGCTGCATGAGCGGGTCGTCCTGATTGTATGACCCAGAGACCGCGAAGAGATGTCTACCTTGGGGGCCTCATCTCAGATGAACCTTGGGCATTGCACCCAAAGTGGACCAGCAAAAGCTCCCAAGGCAACGCTTACTAGGGTTTTCGCGAGTCGAGTCAAATGGAAATCGGCACCGTCCCAACAGATTCGCCTTGGGCCACTGAAGTTGGGAGAGGGGCAAGCTGACTGTGATACCCAGCGGAACAAATCAGGAGCCCACCCGCCCGAAAATGAACAGAAGGACTCCACGATGACTCTTCCTTGGGAAATCATTATGCTCCCTAACACAATCCAGCGAGGGTGTGTTGATAGCTCATATCAATGGTTCCGACGAGTGTTTGATCCTTCAAGCTTTGCATGAAGCAACATCCCAGCTCCAGCCTTACCTGGTGGTCTACGCAAGAACTGGCGCACTTCACCCACACAGCGGTTCCTTCCTGAAGTCCGATCCGCACGTTTGGGATTGGGAAACCAAATGAAACCTGTCTATTTCCGGGAAAAAATGAACATGGTTTATTTGGACACCAAATTGAGGACTGCTTCTTGTTTGCTTCAAAATGAAAGGTGAAACCGTTCACCAAGTTTCGTCCAACCTGTTCCATGTTTGAAGGGCCCAAGACCCTGCCCAGTTCTCGGACCGTCCTTGGCTCCCAATATCAGCACCTCGGCCAGTCAAACAGAAAATGTCCGCAGCCGTGTTTTCAGAACAACTGAGACACCCAAAAACACGCGCGCACACACACAACACAAAACTCACACACACACAAAAGCAAAAATAAGCAAGACACACACACACACACACACACACACACACACACACACACACACACACACACACACACACACGCCGCGCGCACAATAACCCGCTTCCACTTTGGAAGCAGTGTAAGTGATAAAAACAATTCTACCTGCACGTTCATGCGTCGCAGGCCGGTCCACCAATAGGTTGAGTGACAACCAATCGCTCATACAAGACGGTGACTGATGTTAAGAAGAAAACAATTGGTCTGATTGTCCCCACTAGGATTACTCCGGTTGACCCACGTATAGTAAGCAATAAGCAAAAAAGATGTACAAAAAGCCAATTGCAGTTGGCAAGATATTAAGATTCCAACTCCTGTACAATAAGCTCTTGTATCACTTCAATATACATATGATGTCACCAAACAAGACGTCCAAGAAGAGAAGTAGATGGCATGAAAAAGATCAGTTATTATTAGCAAAGATTACTAATTGTACATTCGCATGAACTATTATGAACATCATCCCGGAATCATTCAGGTGTTGTTCTTCTGGATTTCTCCAGAGGTTCCTTTGAAAGGGAAACGGCTCAGAAACCCAGCGTATTAGAGATGAAGGCGTTGGTGGCATGTCCACATGCTGCCAAGGTTTAGGTCTGTTACCCCACAGGGTCTGGGGCCCATGGCGGTTCAACCACCCCGAACCCAAGGATTTGTGGACCTCACTTGGGCGGCTGGTCTGGGAATGAACCTAGGGATTCCCTCAAAGGAGATCATAAGGGATGGTTTCTAGGCGGCCTTCCCTCCTTCTTTGCTGAGAACCGCCAAGACAAGAAAAACACTTCTCTTTTTTTGGGGGGGGGCATCCACTGTTGCCCTCCCAAAAGCAAACCTAGAACCTGCACACTTCCCTAGAAAATGCTTCTTCCACGAACCCCTGTGCAGGTTCTATTATGCTTGTTTTTGGGAGGCCCGTTACTCGACAAATAAGACACGCCCACATGAAGTTTGGAGAGAGCTGTTGTTCCAAGGGCCGTCTATGCATAGTGAACTTTGAGGTTGTTGAATAGAATTTTGGGGCCCATTCTTGAAAACAACAAAGAACCCGGCAAAAATGGTTGATTTTGAAGAGAATGATGGTTGTCAAGAATGGGGAAGCAATCGCAGAGAACATGAAAAATACACCTCTGGCACTTCCCAGACCTGGATGATATTTTGATCGACGGAGAAAGGCATCAACGCCTAGAATGATGGAAGTTTATGGGTGTGTGTGTTTTTTGGGCTAGCGCTTTTTTGGCTGGTTTTAAAGGAACCCCAAAAGGAAAACCACCAGTTGGGGGGGGGAGGGGGGCTTCCAAACAAAAGAAACCCCCGTATGTTCCTGGCTCGAGAGAAGACGTGTTTTAAGGTTCTCTGGCACTGGAGTTGTGCCGTTCTGCCGTTCTGCCGTTTGGTTTTGGCTTCTTGTGAGGGAACCCATGTTAGGGGGTTGTTTCAAAGGAAAATCCAAAGGGAAACAACCACCTGTTTTAGGGGTGGCTCAGAAAAAGCCACACACACACACAGATTGCATCCACCTAGTTATTATTAGTTATTCTGCAAATATTAATATGTCAAATCTTTGGAATAAGGGATCTCCAAGTGAACGACCTACATTGGTGAGGGCTGTTTTTCCCGAATCGGTGAGCTCGCCAAAAAAGAGCCGGATGATTCCATGGGTCTGCACTTGCTCATAGAGGGCCCTCAAAATGGGCTTCGGTTTCCTGTCGGCTTCCAGCTAACCCGCTGCAAAAATAAAATCATGACAATCTAAAACCAAACATGGCGCAAAAAGAGAGGTACCCAAAAAAAGCGGCGTTTACAACCAATGGACAACAAACGGGCCAACGAACTTCCGACCAACAGCAACCAACATATGGCTGCGAATCAAAAACAAACCCTTCCCAAAATGGATCCTGGTAAGCGGCTCCCAGGACTACCTGCGGTCCATATCCTGGTGGTCTATTTGTTCACCCTTCAACACAAGGATTTCCATCTACCAACCATGTTTGAGAGCCTTCCACAATCATCATCATACCTTCGCCTGGTGTTTCGGGCCATTTCCTGTAGATTCTCCAGCGAACCCTTTGAATATCTTGCATGACGTTGGAAGGGGAGCAAAAATTCAAATTTTAGCAGTTCAGTGGTTGGATTTCAACGCAACACGTGTCCCAACGACAAACCGGACCCCCCCCTTTTTTGGGGTACCCTTCGCCTCCGCCCGTTTCCGAAAACCACACGTGACACGTCACAGGGGCCACTCCGCGGACTGCGCCGGGGCGCGGGGCAGGCGATCCGCGACAGGACCGGCTCCGGGTCGTTCTGGCGGAAGTACTCCTCCACGTTGTGGTAGCCCTGGTGCTCCTCAGGCGAATGCGTCCGGTCGAGGGGAGGGACGAGAAGGTATTGGTGAAAAGAAACAAGGAATCCAAGAAAAAGGAAAAAACAAACAAACAATGGAACAACAAAAACATAGAAAGGAAAAACACAACAAAAGAAGGAAGGAAGGAAGGAAGGAAGGAAGGAAGGAAGGAAGGAAGGAAGGAAGGAAGGAAGGAAGGCAGGAAGGAAGGAAGGAAGGAAGGAAGGAAGGAAGGAAGGAAGGAAGGAAGGAAGGAAGGAAGGAAGGACGGACAAAACAAAACAAAACAAAACAACACACAAATAAACAAACAAGACAAACTCTGCATGCTAACATGAAACAACAGGACTCCTGGCTGTCTGGGTTTCACGTGAATCCGCAGGGCAGCACTTACTTGGTGGCGTGGCTTGGTCTGGTTTGGAAGGCTCAGAACGGGGGAACCCCAATGGACTCCAAACACCAAGGGGCCCGAGCCTCCCCCGCCCCCCAGAACCACCAAGCCAAACCACCAATCACAGGTTCCATGAAACTGTGCGGAAAACAATTCCTGTTGACCTTTCAAACCTTCCTGCTCAAAGTGGAAAAGCCCCCTTTCGGTTGGTGGTTCAAGGGAAACCAAACGAATACAATCCATTTTAGGTGACTTACTGTGGTGGGCAGCATCCACTTCGCACTCGTTGGTAGGTGGTTCCTTTTTTGTAGAGTTTCATAGAGTTTCATCCCAATCCCATCTGCCCTTTTTGGGGTTGGTTTGAAGCGAAACCAAAAGGACAGCCTGGCGGCCGACACAAACCAATGTTCGAGAACCTATTTCTTGCCACGTCACAAAGAAGTAGCCCGCAACCGTGAGCAGGGAGGTGCTTAGCATCACCTGCAAAGATATTTGGAAAACACACATGGCATGTCTGGGTTACACTTGGCTCATGCTTGGGTTCTAAGAAATAGGTTAAACATGGGCTAGGTTACACATGACATATCAATAGGTTCTACAGGGGTTGTAGCGGGGCCTGTTAGGATATGTACATACCCTAAATCCAACCTTCCTCTTGTTTTGATGGACCCTTAGATGGGCATCCTTCTTGTGAGGCTGTTTCTACATGAATTTATCATTGCCATTGTCAAAAAAAAACCAGGCTTCTGCCCAGGTCTTGAAGACGGGCACATGATACACTCTTAGGGTGGAGACTCCTCCAGAACAAAAACGCCTGGAGAATCCGTGGAGTTTCCCCAAAGATCCACCGAATTCGCCGCAAAACGCTGCCTTTGATTGGATTGGTCAGAAACAAGAGCTGGACGTTTCATTTACCACCAAAATGATCTTCCCAAGCTATCCAAAGATCCTCACAGATTGTGGAAGTGAGTTCACTCATGGTCGTGGGAAGCTACACTTCTATCCGCCATGGCAGCATTGGTCGTAAATGCGTAGATATATTACATATATACATATATACATATATATATATATGCGTGTCTGTTGTCCCGTCCTCTGCCCTCCTACCCCCGCCCCCCCCCCCCCCTTCTGGTATCCCCCCAGAGACCACCCCCTCTGCGCACTTTGGGTGGCTCGACCCTCAAAACCTTGAGTTGTTTCATGATTGTCACTCCGCTCGCGCAACTCTCTGCGGACTTTTGGGCTTTTGGGAGGTCCACCTCAAAAAACGCGTGCTTTGTTCCGCACCGTTCAGCTTGCGCAAGCAAAAGTTGAGGGGGTCGACCTTCAACAACTCATCTGGCCATGTGTCAAAATCCAAATCGTCCCCCAGTGAACATCCCAATTCCCCACTAAAATACAAAAAGGCCCAACGTGGGTGACTTCACCCAATCCAACCAACATGGGATCCCAAAACGGTTTTGACCGCCACTCATCTCACTCGCCCAATCCGAAGGCGCGAAGTGGCGCTTCGGATCCCAAGCTGCCGGTATCAAGCAACGCACAAATCCCATTTCAGGCCCCGAAAAAAGTGCTGGAACTGATTTTTGTTTGGTGGATTAAGAGTCTGGTTTCCACCAAAAGGAATCCGTTCAAGCGCTTTTTTCGGGGCCTGAAATAGGATTTTTCTGTTCTTTGGGTCATTGGCTTGCTTCCCCCTTGTTTGATTCTATTTGGGGTTAGGAAAGCCATCGATGCCGTCCAAACACACCTCGAGGTACCCAACCTCCCTCGCTGGGGGCGCTTCCACCAGGCCGACTCGCCTGCTTCATGTCGCAGTGCGGCCATTGCTTCGCCACTTGCTCCCGCTTCTTCCAGAGCCACATCTGGCAACAGGCGCCGCGCCAATTCCGGCGCCACCCCCGATGTTTGTTTTTTTCAAGGTCCCTGGACCAACCCGAAGCCTGGGGGTTGTAGGCTCAGTACAAACCACGTATGTTCCCTAGTGAACCACGTGTAAACAACAGAAAAATCTGGGCTTTTGATGGGTTGCTTTATCAAACCCGAAATTGATGAAAAATGACGGGGAGAAAGGGCTGGAGCTTTCCGGGGGCGACCCAAAAAGTTAAAGCGAACCTGGTGGTTTGGAACACCATTTGCCCTCAAATCCCAAACCAATCCAAACCAGGAAGAAAAAACAACTGATTCACGTACCAAACCCTGGAAACTTTTTGGGGTTGCTTTGCATACAATGGTCCATCTCCTGCTACCTGGCGAAATTTGGTATTCACCTTTTTGCGAGGTCCCCCCCAGTTTGCGATGTTTAGAGACTTCTCACCTATAAACAGTTTAAACCTTCTTTGCCGGCAGGGGAAAGTCAAATGTTCCTAAGTCTGTTGGGCTTGGGCAACGAGTCAACTGGACCATAAGTGATTTTTTGGAAACATGGATGGCCCTGGCAAATGGGTTACGAAACCCATCTAAACCCAGTGGAACCCGTCAATTCTGAACCAAACTAACCTACAAAGGGCACCTATGAACAAACAAATCCTGGCAAATCAGATCCGCAAAAACCGGCTCCACACGGCCACCGAACTCCGAACTCCGAACTCCGAGTCCTTCAGCGGCTGCGCCATCAGAAAGCTCAGGAACTTGCCTCGTGGCCCGTGGCCAACGTCCAGCCAACGCCAGTGGCTGCCAAATGGCCACATAACCCACAGGTGAATGAAACAAAAAACATGTGAGAGCCGTTGGAAGTCCTGTTGATATGCAATGGGCAAGGTAAGTTGTAGACATGGCTGCAAGCAAATTCAGATTGAGTGGGTTAGGTACCCTCCCAAAACAAACATGGTTTCAAGAAGGTGCCCTCTAGGGGAACCTCCATTCGGGGTCCTTATGAATTCTGCAAACCCGAATGCCCCCAAGAACACCAGGGATGACACCTGTAAGGCTTAGGTTGAGACCGACCCTACAAACATGCGCCCGGGGGGTCTAACAAACCTCCCTTAGTGAGAGGTTGTAGTGAAAGCTCAGTCCAAGATCTTCATCCAATTGCAAGCGGCGTGCGACCTTTTCTGCCAAACACATACGATCCTGCCCTTACAGAGAATACTAGCCCCCCCGGGAACACTTCTTGGGGGGTGGAGGGTACCTACTTATGCACCCAATGTTGGCCTAGGTTTTAAGTAGACCCTGTCGAATGAGTGGGTTCTGCCAAAAGCCCTGCCTACTGGACCCCAAACCACCTGGGTCAAACTGACCGCAACAATGCAACACAACTTTTTGCTCGGCGTGCTCCTTTTGGTCCCTTTTTGGCTTCTGACTAAACCGCATCAGTCAGTTTGAGCCCAAATGGATATGCGTCCAAATAGGGATGGCGTTTGCTCTTGGTCTCGACTTAAAACCAAGCTTTTTGAAAGGCTATCCTAAAAGAGAGAGAAAGAGAGAGAGAGAAAGAGAAAGAGAAAGAGAAAGAGAAAGAGACAGAGAAAGAGAGACAGGTTGAACACTACACCAGCTAGAACCTACCACAATTCGCAAAGCGGAATCGGGCACAGCCGAACAGCGCTCCAACGCCGCGCTGCGTCGCTCCAGCTCCGCATAGTGCTCCGGGTAGGCCATGGGGCAGCTCACCGCCACCGCGGCGCGGAGCCCTCGGGGGAACTTTCCCACGGACTCTGAAAGGATCGACGCCCCATGCGGCGGATGGACGCGAAATCCAAATTCGCACCACTTTGGAAACCATGGGTGGAACCCTTGTTTGTTGGGTATTTACGGGGGAATCGTCAGAAACCAGGGTTTCTTATGTGGTGCAGGATTTCGTCCGTCCACAGTAGGACTCCTTTTTGGAAAATAGATGGCCCTGGTAGATGATGGAACCACCTGGTTTTCTATGTTTAAGCGAACCAACCAAAAAGGACACAGAAAGGATCGCCCCGAAACGAAAGAAATCGAAGGTTTGGGGGCCATACTGTGGATGGACCAAATCCATTTCGCGCCACTTAAGGAGCGCTGGTTTCTGATGATTCCCCTGGAAATGCCAACAAAAACAATGGGTTTCAACCATGGTTTTCAAAGTGGTGCCGGACTTCGTCCATCCGCAGCAGGTGTCCTTTTGGCGAAAAAGCATGGGTCTCCGTGGTAAATGGACGGCCTAAAAAACCCATCCAAACCAGTGGAACCTATGCCGGTGGCTGGAAAAGATGGGCCTTTTCCCAACCGCCTCGTGGTAAAACGGATCGCCCAAAGGGGCCCTGAACGTGCAGGAAGCAAACTGGTCGATTTGAAGGGCAACCCTACACCCAGTTCCCAATGAAGTTAGAAAAAGGGGTGAGACTACCGAGACCCAACGAATGATTTGGAGAATGACTATCAATTCTCGCAGCTGTTTTTCTTAGATTAGATGCATGAGTGTTTTTGACCCCCGGATGGGTCAGCTCGTCCATAACTTGTCCAGCCCCAGGCTTTCCAATGTCAAGTGTAGGCCTTATCAGTTTGGGGCGTGTTCGCCTTTGCTTGGTGCTTCTAAGGTAAATCCGGATTTCACAGGAATGCGAAGTACCAAAGCAGGGGCCTCAACCTGCAACGCCACTCGGACATGGACCGCACGAGACCGATACCTGATAATTGCTCTGTCGAAATAGGGGCTTCCGACAAATGATGTGTCCCTCCAAATGGGTTGTTGAGGGCCCTTGACAGGCCGGGGTTCTCCATTGGAGGGCCCTTAGGGTAGTTGGTTTCCCATGGCAAGCTTCGGCTGCCGGCGCCCGTCTCGCCCAGGTACTTGGTGAGGATCGTGCCGCCTCGCCCAACTCCCACTAGCTCCCCCGTCCCATTGGTGGCTCCCCTGGTCAAAAAGGAAATGGGTCTGTCTTTTCTTGAGGGTAGCCCTAGGGAAACCCGGAAACTATCAAAAAGGAAGACACGACCCAAATGACTCCATGGACTGACACAAAAGGGCATTTGCATTATATGAGTGTATCCTCCACGTCCCTCCAGCAAATCGAAAGGGGTGACCCCGTCGCGCCATGTGACCAGAGAAAGGGGAAGCACCCCTCGGGAGAACCCTCCAAAACAAGTCACATGCCCAAAGAAGCTGAACAGGAAAGCGTCCCCTTCTCAGAAAGGTGATGGATGAATGCCAAAAACAGAGTGGCTTGCTGGATTCTTTCTTCCGCAGCTTCCTCACGGCATCGCAGAAAGTGGCATCTAACATTGCTGGATCTGGGGGGTTACTTGCTTGCAGCCACCTGTAGATCTGTTGCGACAGAGGGCATGCGACAAGTTCGATATAGGGACGAGAGGCTCGGGGATCGCCCAATTAAGGCAACAATCAAGGGGAACTGGAAATGGGGAGGGGTTTAGGGGTGCTCGGCGATCGCCTAGGCTTGGATCGCCTTTTGTTTGCCCGTTCCCAGCAAAAAAAGATCCGCCCAAGCCGGGGCGAAGGTTGGGTTGGCTTCCTTTGCTTCGCCTCTGGAGCACTACCCTTGCGACTGTACTTGGGCTTGAACAAATCCAACGCACGCCAGCAAGAGCCCCTTGATTCGACACGGTGCCTTCCCAAGGGCCTTTGGCGTGCCACTTGCCAGGCTTCCCCCGACTTGCTCGTTTTGCACCTCACTGACCTTGCTGGTGTAGGTAGGGAATCAGAAATGGAATGACCCCGATATATATATATATATATATATACATATATATATATGTATAAAGCTGGTGGTTTCCTTTCTGCGGGAATCCCAGAACGTTATTCATCCAAACTCATTCCCTATCGCACCAACTCACCGCCGGCGAGCCGCCCATGGAAAAGCCCATGGCGAGGATGGGCTGCCCTGGACACGCGGCCTCGCGTAGGGGGGCGCAGCTCGGAGGCCAACGGGGGAGGCTCGTCTTTTCGGATTTAGGAGCCCCAAAATGGCTTCGGTTCTCCTGTTGGCGTCCCTTTGAAACCACAGAAAAGAGGTACCAACTCCGGAAAAACAAGACACACATCAAGCCAGAACAAAACTTGAACCCGTGCTTAACTGCCAATCATCAGGCATTTGCGGTTCACTTGCAATGTTTAGGGAATCCGCCGTGAAGCGATTTGCCAGGCCGGGGACACTGAAACTGTAAAAGGTTGACCAAGTTGAACCTTTGTAGTTCCCACATACCACTGTCTGTCTTTTGTTTTGGCACATTCTGCGGACAAAAAGAACAAACAAGCAAACAAGCAAGCACACAAACAACCAACCAACCACCCAAACAAACAAACCCGACAGAACAAAACAAAACGAACAAGCAAACACAAACAAGCAAACAAGCAAACAAGCGAACAAACGAACAAACGAACAAACAAGCAAACGGGCAAGCAAGCAAGCAAGCAAGCAAGCAAGCAAGCAAGCAAGCAAGCAAGCAAGCAGGCAGGCAGGCAGGCAGGCAGGCAAGCAACCAAGCAAGCAAGCAAGCAAGAAAACAAACACAAACACACAAACAAAGAAACAAACAAACACACAAACAAAGAAGCAGAACAGAACAGTAGAACACAACACAAAACAAACAACGCAAAGACACAGCACCTGCACGGAAATGGTCAAACCTGGGCCAAAGTTGTCATGCCCTTATAACGTCAGCAACACTCATACGGAAACTCTTTTGGAAAGGTCTGGGGGGCGAAAAGACCAGCTGGTCGGTGTCCCATACATGTTTCCGCTTGATTTCCCAAAAAGGCAAACGAAAGCGCCTGAATATGATAGGGAGCTGAGCTCGGGAGCTGTATTGTTTGTCGCGGTCTCACCGGGAGCAAGAAAGCGAAGCAAAGCAAAGAAATGCAAAGCAAGCAACCAGTGGTTTGCCATGGGACAGGCACTGCAATTTTTGTTGGTTTTGGACATTCCCCCCACAGGAGAAAACCCAAAGTGGCCCCTTTGATTTTTCAAGTTGGAACCCTCACAGGCAAGAAGAAAACACGGCCCCTCGATGGGAAATCCTCCCCAAGAAAATCCACGGCACCACCTTGGCGACTGGAAACCTTGGACTGGTTTTCTTTCCATGTGTTTTTCGTGAGGCAGCCTTTGGGTGTACATGGGTCTTTCATCATGGCTGTCGTAGTCCAGGAACCAGGTCATTACGATTGAGGTAGTCGATCATTCTCGCGTTGGGGGAGACACCTGCGGAAAACTTCTAAAAAGTTTTAGCTGATTCCTGCGATGTCGGGCTCATTCATTTCTCCCACCTTTTTGGCAATTGAGAGGGCCCCACCGACTGCACATGGTTTTCCATTCCACCAAGGGAGAGCATAAGAATTGTATGAAGAGGCCTCCAGTCCCACCCGAATTTTGGCAGTGGAGCTCTGATATGGTTGGCTTCCTCTTGGCATCTCTTTAAACCAACCTGAGCAGGGTACCCTTAAAAAGCGCGCCCATGTCTAGCGCCGTTCTTTTCCCCCTCTCGAAGTCACCACCTAAGTTGGGTAGAAACACCTCCCCAACTTTTGACTTTGATAACCCACGGGCAAAAAAATGACCCCCTTGGTTGACGTTGGAAGGGGAGCAAAAATCTAAATTCTAGCAGTTAAGTGGGAATTTCCCACTGAACCGCAATAAGCAAAACTGTACAATGTTTCCCAACAACAACCATGATTTAGCGAGTTTGAAGCCCAGCCAGGCGGTCATTTTTTTTTTCCTCCGATGGCCTCAATGACGTCCAGGACCTCCGGCAGGTCTTTCCAGCTATCCGCGCAGCCCAGGCGTGGGGAGGTGATCCTAAGGTCCTAGTGGTTTCAGGTACCATGGCCGATCCTGGAACCAAGTCTTCAGCTTCCATGTTACTCTGGGATTTTGGAGGTATGGAGGCTATAAGCCGCTTAAATATGCGGTGTATAAGCTCTTACAAGCATATATTGTATGTAAGCATCCATGCCTGAAAACCTGTACCTGGAATTGCCCTTGAAGGTTTCACGAGGACATGCGCTTGTGGTTTTTTGTGGAGGCACACCTTGTGACATGAGTCAGAATCAAAACATGGTCTTCCGTGTGGGGTTGATTTCATTGAGGCTCGGCAGCCTTCACATGAATCCGTACTGTTGTCCACCCCCCAAATGAAGTGCCAGAGGAGCACATAGGCTTCTTTGTCGAGGCTACGCTTTTTGAGTAGGTAAAAATATAAGAAAGAGAGCTCGGTTGCTTTCTGCTGCCTTGCTAAAAGTTTAACTTTTAGTGGTTTAGTGGAAAACCCATTAGTTGGCAACAAGTTAAAGTCCTAACATACCATTTGGGGCTGAGGGCCCTCCCTATTGGGGCGCCGTCTTGACGGATCTCCGAGGCGCTCCAGATGCTCCACGGCGCGGTAGTTCATGGCCACCGCCTGGAAACCCGCCTCGGACCGGGGGGAAACGAGAAACGGACCGGGACACCCGCGGCCGGGCGGAGGGCTCAAAACTTCATGCACAGCTCACGCCTGTCTGGCAAGAGCCGTTTGTTTGACCACGGGCAGTGGCAGTTCTTGGAAGGGGGGGAGTGGTTTTTTGGGGTTGGTTCCCGAAAAAAACCTGGCGGATGTGTTAACTGAACACTCTTGTGGTATGTTTTGGGTCGGGATCGAAAAATGGTGAGTAATCCTAATTACAAGGTTTACACGGGGTCAACTTGGTGTTCAGTGGAGGCGACCCATTGCTTAGCTCACTTCCGCAGAATCTAAGTTTGGGTGTTCTTGGCATTTCTTGGCGGCGACAACGCCCCACAAATGGCTTAAGCTTCGGTCGGTGAGTGGGAAAACACTCGGTGCGTAAAAAAGAAAGGTAAAACACCAAGCAACCGGCAGCCGAGCTTTCTTTGGAGTCGTTTCTTTCTCGCAAGTCGGGCTGCCCTTCCAAAAAGAGGGTTTATAACCCAACCAAACAGGGGGCCTGATTGCCCGGCTTCAGGCCTTTCGTAACATGTTCTTTTGCCACGGCGTAAAGGAACCAGAAGCCCATGTGCCTGATGTGCAGGTGGATAGCGCTACCATTTCCTCCAGTCTATTTTGCAGTAATGTATTTCCTGCTCGGGCTTCTGATCAACAGTTACCGATCGCTCACACCATCCGAAAGGAACCCAATTCTCTATTGATTCTTAGCCTTAGCCCTACACCAGAAACTCATCGGAAGGTGTTTAGGAGTTACACCCAATGAATCCGCCTGCATTGATCCAACTCTCGAGCCTCCTCAAGCTTGGCCATCGTGTAGCGCACGTAGATGCTGCCTCGGTTATTTCTTATCTATCCAGCCGCGACTGCCTAAGCTGGCTGTAGATTGGGAAAACTTGGGGCATACTCAAAGTACCACGGTTGATTCCTTAATGTTGCAAGCGGGGATCCACCCTGTATTTTGCCAGGGTGTGTGGTTGGGTTTGCTTGGGATGATGTCGGGTTGATTAATCTTAGAGGGGTAGGCATACTACCCATACTAACCCTCGTGGCCACCCATCCTCATCACCCTCCTGTTCAAGCTGTCAAGACCACAAGATAGGGTCTTTGTGGCACAACCGCCGGGGTCCATAGTTTTGGCCGAGTTGTGGGGGTGGGATCGTCTGAGAAAAAAGAATAAACAACACGCATGAGGTTCGGTCAACATGGCCAGTAGCCTTTGGTCCATCAGGATATGAGGACTGACCAATTGTTTAACGCCCAAAACTCGTATCTTGACCGTGACCCATCTCTTCCCTGACTGCCCCAGTTCTTACTTGGTAGGAAGTCAACCCCTAAAGAAGGAATTTACAGCGAACACTTTCCTCAAAATGCAAGACTCAAACACCCTCTTGAGATTCCACCGAAAATGAAACAAAAACAACGCCCCATTGGGTTGGCTGGTTGGTTGGTTAATTGGTTGGTTGGTTGGCTTCTTGGTTGTTTGGTTGGTTGCTTTCTTGCAAAAAGGTTGGTGAAACAATTGCGTAGAGTCGTAGAGCAACCAGACCGATTCGGCCCCGTTCAAGGAAAACCAAAGCCAATCCAATCGTTATCATGTTCAAAAAAAAGGCTGGCCCAACCCTGGCCGGGGGAAGCCTAGGGCAGGACCTGCGTGAGCAATTTAAGCGATTTATACCACAAACCAGCAACCAACCAACCAACCGACCGACCGCCCGACCAACCAACCGACCCACCAGCCAGCCAGCCAGCCAGCCAGGCAGCAAAACAGACAAACCAAAAAGTTGTCTTGAAAAACAAACACCTGCAGAGACCCCAAACAGTTGACGGGCAAGCACAGACATGCCAACAGCTTGTGGCTTTGACAAACAGACCAACCGACTCACCAGCGGACCGACCGACCGACCGACCAACCAAACCAAACCAAACCAAATCAACTAAACAACTAACCAACCAACCAACCAACCAACCAACCAACCAGCCAGCCAGCCAGCCAACCAACCAACCAACCAATCAGCCAGCCAACCAACCAAACCAACCAATCGACCGACCGACCAACAGACCAACCGACCCACCAGCCAGCCAACCAACCAACCGACCAATCAGCCAGCCAACCAACCAACCAACTAACCAACCTCTTTCAACCGCGTTCTCCGCTTTCTCTGGACCCCGGCGGCTGCTGTTGGCCATGCCCGGCAGCACCAGCACCACCGGGCGCCCAGTCTTGAGCCCCCGCCTCCAATTTACTGTGCTACCCCATGGAAAACGACTCAGGTTCCTCCTGGTGGAAGGGTTGTCTCCCGACTAACATGGAACCTGAGGTTGAAGGGACCCTTTGGTGGGTTCCATGTTGGTAGGCAGGAGGTGAAAAAATTGAGAAACCACAGGAGGATGCGTTTAAATTGGATGTTTAAACAAGGGTTGGTGGCACATCTCGCAGTACCCCAAGCACCCCAAAAAATGCCAAACCACGGGAGGTTGGCCCGTCCCCCCAAACCCCCGACGGGGCACCATTGCGCCTGCTTGGCGTATAGTGATTGCTTACCCAGGGCCGCGTGACTTGGTTTCAAGGACGGGGCCACTTTCGAAGCTTTCATGAACTGACGCGAAAGGCCATCTTTGACTCCTGACTTTCCTCCCCTGGCTTTTGGGAGAGAAACGAGGGCACCACAGCCAGATGTATTAATTTCCGACATGGATACTTCAGAGGGTTCCAATTCCTTCCCTGACCGAACCAAGTGGAAACTCCCAGCCCCCAGAAGTTCCAATGCCTGACTCCATCGTTCCTTGACAAAGTGATCTGTCCAAGTTGACCATAGACTACTGGAGATCCGCTGAACCAAAACCGAGAGGGCACGACCCAAATCCGGTCAACCTGCAACAGTAGGGAAGCGGACTAAGCAAACCGACACATCTTAGCTTCGACCGTAGTAAAGGGGATCTTCGGAAATCAGTGCGCAAAATCGCCAAACTATGTCACCCACCCCTCAGGCGACACCTGCTGAATGTTGACCGTTGCTACTGTGTCGGGTGAAATGACCTGTTCACAGAGGGCTAGGGAGGCCGAGTACAGATTCTTGGTTGCCGGCTCCAGGATTCCTAGCAAGTCAGCCAGAATGGCCATGACCATATTTGTTTAGGCAGGTGGAAATCAGGGGATGGGCAGCCCCGCTGATGTAATACCGGGAACCGACAACATAGTAAAGCATCAGTCATTGGGAAGCCAATACCGTGGTGTCACAGCAGTTGCGTCTCCCACAACACCGGTGGGAAACCAACAGTGTTTTGGTAGGCTGAAAACCGAAAACCGAAATGTTCACAGGGCTTAATCGCACGTAGCCTAGCCAAAAGGGGGGCTGCCGGTTCTCTCACAGATCTACCTTGAAACCTAAAATCAAGCCCTACTCCAAATACCCACTCTTTCTCGATCATATTTTGCAAAATCGAGTTTCACCTTCAGTAAGTACCCCTGATCAGCGGCTGACATCATACCTCCCGGCATATTTGAAGGGAAACACATGAGTCATGCTTGCTTGCCCACAGAACTCGAGAATAAAAGGGTTAACTCACTTCCTGAGTGGATTGGTCACCAAGAGCAACCGAACAGCCCCTATCGATTTTGGGTGGTAGTGTCAGGTGCTCATGTGTGGCCCACTTTCCAGTCAACAATAGGGAACCAAGCTTTCTCTAGGTTTCTCCCTTTGGTTTGGGGTACCTCCTCTGCTGGTTTCAGGCGGAACAGGGCTTCAAATCCCCAAACCAAACCACCATTTTGGGGGTACCTGAATGATGGTTTCCCTTGGGCTACCTGCTGCAACTGGAAACACAGGGTCGGTTATTGCATGCTTCGAAGATTTTGTCTGGGTATGAGTCAAAACACCCCCCCAAAAAAGGAGTACCATGGGGTACCCGTATTTTTCTTTTTTCTAGAAACAAAAAAAATGCGGGCGCATGCTCTCTTCCGATCAAAGCGGCCACCAGTCCAGCGACACCGTGCCGCCGTCCTTTAGGGTCAGCTCTCGCTCCTCGAGGGAGGCGGGTTGGGAGAAACGCCATGGTACAGCCCGGTGGCCCACGCAAAACAGACCCCGCATATAGTCTTTGTTGCAGCCTCTGTTCCATAGGGCTGCTTTTGGGTTTACAAAAGTTCGGAGGCACTGCTGCATGAGGCTCGATCTGCTCCAAAGAGGAGCTAAATCTCTACTTGATCTCATTTGTTGCAGTAAACCGATGGTAGTCCTAAACAATGGGTTCTCTTCTGCCAGAAATCGACCCATAGCAGCTAGCCAATGGACCGAAACGCAGTCTGGGCCTTCTCATACCTCTATGGCACCTGCACAAAAGCCTCTCTCATCCGCGAGGATCTAGGAGGAGATAAAAAAAAAAAAAAACAAAAAGAAAAGAAACGTCGTTGAACTGTTTAGAGCCTTCACGAACCTTGACCGACCCCGGATCAACATGACCTTTTTCTTGTTTTGTGCCAATTACACAACCAACTAGCCAATCAGCTCCGGGAGGGCTAAGGCCAAAGAAGGCAACACAAAGGGCCTTGCAGGCAAACATGTATCTAGGGGTTGATTCCAACCATTCTTTTCCATCGTTCTTTTCAAAAACCGGATCTGCTTCCCCTGGGGGTTCTGATGGTTGTCCGGAAAGATTCGGATCCCTGGGTTGAGAATGGAAATGGATCCCCAATGTGAGGCGTATCCTTGCAGATCTTGAAGTAACTTGCTCTCCTTTCAACCTCCCAAGGCCAGGAAGGCCTTCGATCACAAGGAGCTCACATGCCGGAGGGACGGGGAATCCTTGGCTTGGAGGAGACAAACGGAGCTCATGTACTAGCATGTTTCTTTGACGAGGGACAACTCCCCAGAAATTAAAGAAGCAAACCAAAAGAAGGTCTCCCAAAAGACGTTTCCGATCCTACAAAAGGTGGTCTTTCACTTTTGGGCTCCATGTAGTTCCATAGATGACTCCTTTTTTGGTCGCAGTTGTTCTGTTCGGCCGCTTTTCTGGGCCCTTGGAGGGCAAGAACACTGAGGCAAAGAGACTCCTCGGAGACACGCAGACTCTTCAGCACCGGGATGCCTCTCGGGCATAGTCTCCACTCAGTTGCAAAGGGTGATCATTTGTTTAGGGCCACGAAAATGGACATGACACTAGAAACCAAAAGGGTCGAAAGATGGATTCGCTTTGCGCAAGTGAGTCTGTGGACATGGGTAGACTAGAGAGTCTTGCGGGATAGTGAGTCTTTGATGTCCACTACCAACTTCATCATAGGCCACTGGATATGTTGACCGAACCTGGTTGGCATGCGTGCCAAACTCCGTATGTGGGTCTGAACCAGGGAAACTCTGGTTGTGCCAGATGGGCCAATCCATTTCCGTGATATGAAGTTTTTGATTTCCATCCCCATGACTATATTATCACGTTAACCGGAATTCCCTCCGTTCGCAGAATCTGGCAACCTTTCGGGGCCGTTCACTTTTTTGCGGTCCAAAGATGCGCTCCCAGAATACTTGGTCGACGTTGGAAGGGGAGCAAAACATTTTTGTAGCAGGTAAGGGGGATTTCAACCACTAAACCACAATAAGCAAAAATGTTTTTTTTAAAAAATGTTCCCCAACGACAACCATGAATAGAGCTGGAAACTTGTGACTTACCATGGAACTCCGCCCCCCCAGGCATTGACGCTTTGCCCCATTTCAGGCCATGATTATTTTGAGGATACCCCTTGGCTGTTGTGGTTAAGGGGAACCAAGAGGAAAACCAGCATGTTGGGGGGTGATCCCCTAAAAAAGACATTTTGCAACCACAACTTTGGCTTGTTAGAAGAGAAGTGAGGACTGAGGAGTTGCCAATAGCACAGTCGCCCTGCCTTAGTTCTTCTTTGGCCCTCGGCCGCAAAGAAAAGACTATGAGGACTAACAGCCCTGCTGCGTGAGGGAGGGTTTCCTTCCCCCCAAAACTGCTCTGGATTACACTCCTAAACATCGTCCAAAAGGGGGACTTCTCCAGCCCAGCCATCTTGGTAGAAAGAGACTTGGAACCCTTTTCAAGGTTCTTCCGATTTGTTTGGGGCCAAAACACGGGATTTGCAACACCCCACTGAACCGCCCAAGTACGCTTCAAGGCCTTCAATTTCGGTCCGCTCACCCCCAAGACCCCAAGACCAGGCCATTCTGCCCAAGGCCCCTTGCCTTTCAAGGCGGCGCCGAAGGTGGAGGCGATCCAACCCAGGTGCAGCCAGTGGGGCCAGTACCTTCTCCGCAGCGCCTGGCCTGGGATTGAGAGACGTCCGAAAAAGACTTCCTCAGGTTTTGACGTCCGAACAACGATTCTTTGGCGACCAAACGACCCGTAAGGGCTGGCCCCAACGACCCACTAAAGGGTAGTCTTTGTTCTCAGACTGTTTTGCTTCTTGGGAGGGGAGGAAGTCACGGCCGAAGCACGCTTCTTCAGCCCCCCAACCCTCGAAAGTCTAGATGCCGGCCTGGTGGCACCTTGATGGCACCTGGTGCCATCTTGAGTGAATTCGGACTCCCTCTTCCGTAGAGAATCTGCGCACTTGCCTGCGCTAACGTGTACCCCTGATGTGAGTCTAGGGGCAGCTCAAACGAAGCCTTTATGTCCCATGGGAATCCACTGGTTGCAAGCAATTAAGCCAATGCTGATTTGTCTGACAATCGTCGATCCCCGGATTACTCAAATCCGGATCCCCTCTAAAATGGGTTATTGCCCCCGATCAAAATACTTCAGCGGCGTATGAATCAACTGGGTCCCCTAGCTGCTGATCTCTCACTGAAGTGGTGCATCCAAGGTGCCCATTGCAACTAGCTCATTTCGGTGTGCCTGAACTTAAAACATGGACCCTGCACAACTGGTTTCCTAGTGGTTAGCCGTTTGGTCTCATCTGGCCCGTGAGTTTGATGTCCTCCGAACCCCCTTATTTTAAGGGTGGTTTAAAGCCAAAAGGACAACCGTCCCATTGTGGGCGTCCAAACGCCTATTTCGACACATCTCCGTGACACGGTGGCTTCGCGGGTGGCTTCGCGGGTGGCTTCTAAGCTAGCCGCTAGCAACCACTTTTAGCTAGCTTGCCCTGTGTCAACCCGGGGGGGACTTCGCGAGAGGCTTCGCAGCCGTCGCGATACGCAATGCAAGCCGCTCTCGCACACCTATTGAGATTTCCTCCTGAAGATAAACTTTTCCCTCTGAAACAAAACCCCGATCATGTGTGCCGTTGTCAGAAGAGAGTCTTAGCTTGGGTTTGGTCTTATGTCGTGGTTCCTCGTTCCCCTCGCCGCCGGCCTAGCTCCTCATCTTCGAGCAGCTGGCGCAGCTCATCAACATCCTGAGCGAAAGCCCGGAAGCCCTTCAACGAATGAGGAAAATACACAAACAAGGGGTTCTTTACTTCGAGCAATTTCCACCTATTAAAGTTGCTGCCACACAGGCGCCAAAAGATCAATCCGACTGCGCGCGGGCCTCAAGCATGCGGCTGGCTGATGCCACAGCAGGGAGCAAGACAGCGCCAACCCCAACCAATAGCAGCCTTTGGATGGAGATTCTCTTCGTTTTTGGAGGGGCCACATACTGTTTGGCGGGGAAATCAGAAGGGTTAGAATTAGAATAACAGCTCGCTCAATCCGTTTTTTTTCCCCGGCAAATCAGCACAGCATCCCAAGATCCAGCTACATTAGCCGATAGCCGCGGAAAGTGTGCAAAGGTTGCTGTCTGGGTCACAACTGTCGCCAGCTTCAGGCTTCAGGCTGTAACAGATGTCCCGGTCCGGCCACTGGAGGCTTCGAAAACTGTCACAACTGTCCTGGTCCGGCCACTGGCGGTTGGATGTCATTTAAGATCTAAAAACCTGGACCTTTCGGGTAACGAACAAGCAATCAAACAATGCAAAATACAATCAAAACAAAACGAAACAAAACACACACACACACACAAGATACGAGCAACCAAACAATCAATCAAACAAACAAACAAACAAACAAACAAACAAGCAAACAAGCAAACAAGCAAACAAGCAAACAAGCAAACAAACACGCAAATCCAACCAACCAAACAAACAAACCCGACAACAAACAAGTGAACAAGCAAACAAACAAACAAATCAAACAAACAAACAAACAAACAAACAAACAAACTAACAAACAACAAACAAACACACAAACAAACAAACAAACACGCAAGTCCAACCAACCAACCAAACAAACAAACCCGCCAACAAACAAGCGAACAAGCAAACAAATAAACAAACCAGCAAGTCGACAAACTGCCAACAAGAAATCAATCAATCAATCAACCAACCAACCAACCAACCAACCAACCAACCAACCAACCAACCAACCAATGAATCAATCAACCAATCAATCAATCAAGCAAGCAAGCAAGCAATCAATCAATCAATCAATCAATCAATCAATCAATCAAATCAAATTAAATCAATCAATCAATCAATCAAGCAAGCAATCAAGCAATCAATCAGTTAAGCAATCAAGCAATCAAGCAATCAAGCAATCAAGCAATCAAGCAATCAAGCAATCAAGCAATCAATCAATCAAGCAATCAAGCAATCAATCAATCAATCAATCAAGCAAGCAAGCAAGCAATCAATCAATCAAGCAAACAAGCAAGCAAACAATCAAGCAATCACGCAATCAAGCAATCAAGCAATCAAGCAATCAAGCAATCAAGCAATCAAGCAATCAATCAATCAATCAATCAAGCAAGCAAGCAATCAATCAGTCAATCAATCAATCAATCAATCAATCAATCAATCAATCAATCAAGCAATCAAGCAATCAAGCAATCAAGCAATCAAGCAATCAAGCAATCAATCAATCAATCAATCAATCAATCAATCAATCAATCAATCAATCAATCAATCAAGCAAGCAAGCAAGCAAGCAAGCAAGCAATCAATCAATCAATCAAATCAAATCAAATCAATCAATCAATCAATCAATCAATCAATCAATCAATCAATCAATGAATCAACATATTCAAATCAATCAAATCAACCAACCAATCAAGCAAGCAAGCAAGCAAGCAATCAATCAAACAAACAAAGAACAAACCAAACAAACCAACCAAACCAACCAAACCAACCAAACCAAACCGACCAATCAACCAAACAAACAAAAAACAAACAAACAAACAAACAAACAAACAAGCAGAACAAGCAGCCAAACAACCAAACAAATGCAAAAGCCGAAAGCCAACATCCCAAAGAACTTGTAAATGAACACGCACCTTTACCCCGACATCAGGGAGTCAGTCCTTCAATCAAAAGCTCGCTGAGATCCAACCTACGCGAGGCTTTCATAAGAATCGCGTTGTTTTTTTATAAACATGTTTGGGCTTTAAGGTTCTTTTGATTAAAAAACATTAGTGCTTTTGAGATACATACTCGACCGCGGCAGCGACAAGTCAAAAGGGGATGACTGTCCAGTGCCATGCAAACTGGACATACAAGCAGTGACTCCACAATGCCTGATGACAGTGCTTGCATAGGGAATGGCACAATGTCTTGTTGACGGTGTCAACCCAGCCTTTAATCTTAGAACTGCGTTGGTTGCCTAGGGACCGGGTCTGCCGTCCCAAAAAATCCTCGGATTCTGGTTGCAACCTAAAATCACATGGAAACTCCAAGCCAATAGAACAGGCTCAAACACCTAGGTGTGTGTAGAAACGGGGTACCTCCAACATTGGTATCCCTTGAAACCAAACTGAGAAAGGTACTCAGCCTCCAAACAACGAGCCACCCCCACGTGATGGTTCTGGTTTCCCTACTGGTTCAAATCCCAAAGCTTTAAATTTAGATTTGTAGTGTGGCTCCAGCCACCACCAAACGAAAACGAGAAGCAACAATTTGAACAGTTTGCACTTTGGCTTTGGACAAGACAATTTCTCGGTGAGCCCAAGGGCAATCGAAGGCGCGGGCAATACGTTTGGTTTTGGATGCGAGCATAGGTGGCCTTTGGGAAAAATAGATGGCCCTGGCCTGGCAAATGGAACAAACCCCATCTAAACCAGTGCCATCTATTTTTAACCAGGCTCACCTAAAAAGGACACCTATGGATGCGAGCCCCCCAAAAAAAAACACTCGAACGGCACTCGGCGGTGATGTGGTCCCAGATGCCCCCCGCAGCTCTGGGAGATGCGGCGCCATCGGGATTTATTGTCGAAAATCGATAGGACGCCGTCTTCTGGCATGGGGGCTTGGAGTTGTGGTGTGGGTCTCCAACCAAATTGTTTCATGGGGAGTTTGGAGGTATGGACCAATTCTGGCTCATATACCACCACTGTCAGCTTGGTGTGGGCAGTCTTCACCCATCATGTCATTGTCTTGTCAATTTGGTGCAGTGGCAATGTAAGCGTTCTTTTCCGGTGGCACCTTCAGCAAATAAGAGCATGAGTTTCAAGGGATTGAATCCAAGAATACCACTACAACTATGCGTGACTGTACAAATTATGATATAGTGGCTGTCCCAATCGAAAAATAATGTTCGCCTGTTTGACCAGCAGGCCATAGCATTCCATTTGGTGCTCACTTTCGACCCGTGGTCGTCTAACTCTGCACTAGGGGGTGGCTTCCCTGATGTGACACGAACCATGAGCCAGAAGGTGCCTGGAGCGCGTTCACTTTCAGCAAGTGAGTCAGTCAATACCTGGCATTCCAGTATTGCTCATATCTGAAAACTACTCATATCTGAAATGTCAGTTGCCGCACCACAGAAATTGCGAGGCATCTTATCAACATGACCATTTGAGCCCCATTCAACCCCCCCCCCCGCTCCATCTTTTGTGCTTTCTGGGACACCTTCCATTTCTGTTGCCTTTAAGGCCAGGGAAAACAATGACTGCGGGCGTTTCTATCAGAATGCACTTGCATTTGCACCAGCGCCGTCAACATCCCCAGCATCGTTTTTCAAACCCCAAGCGTCGTTTTCGACACCCCCAGCATGACCAGAAGCTTTGGGTGGGTTCAAGGTCTGTTTGGGCTCGGGGCTTGGGTTTCTTTGGGTTTGCTTTTGGGCTTGTTGAAAGTTGGCTGTGGGGAGAGCCGACCAAAGCTGAGTGCAAAACCTCCAGTCATGATGCAGTTCGCCGAAGCGGTCAGATCCTTCCCACACTCAAATCTGCGTCCGGCCCAAATCCAGCTCCAGCTGCCTCCAGCCCCTCTGAAGCAGGGAGGGTGTCTGAGAGCCACGGAAGGGCAGCGGGCTGGGCCAAGTGAGCCTGAGCGCCGAATTTGGGCTTCTAGAGCAGCTTTGACCGGTTTCTAGGGTGGATTCGAAGGGTTAGTGGGGATTGGACTGCTCTTTGTTGGGACTTGCTTGTTTCAAGCGGACTTTGACAGGGAGGTGGGCCGGTTTTTGTTTGTCCGGCTTGTGGGGGTGCGTATCCAATGGCTACATATAGTACATCAAAGCCAGCCAACAGCATACTGGCCGAGGCGGGCAATGCGAAGCGTTTGCAAAAACGGGGATCCACCTGACTTTTCACGGGTGTCAAGTCTCGGATTCCACGGCTTGACCCCAAGGTAAGTGGCCTAGTTCCAACAGAAACCCCTCAGTTTCAATCCACCTTATCAAAATGCAAGGCCCGCCGCGCGATCGATGTGCCTTTTTGCGTCCGCGCGGAAAACTTTCTGCGCGGCCTTTGACCGTAACTTGCACGTGGCGGCGCTGCAACCCGCAGAAGTTTGGCGGCTTTGAAGGGAAACCAAAACGCGTGGCATCGCTTGGGTGTGTCTCATGAGGGAAATTGCGAAGGAAATGAGAGGTTTCCTTTGAGCCCAGATTTGGCAGCCCCACGCTGCGGATCAGGGTTTGAATGTGGTTGGGATGCCACTGCATGGTACCTATGATTTTGGGCCCCTCTTTGGACATGTTGGAACACAATGTGAACCTGACCTATTTCCACTCCCCTTACCCCAAGTGCTCCACAGCTAGGTGTCTGTTTTTAGAGGCTACCCCTGTTTTGGTTGGTCTAGAGGGCAAACCAAAACGAAAACCATCAATTTGTGGGGCTCCCCTGCACAAAGACACACCCAACTATATAATTATTTTTCCTGTGGTTGATGTCCGCCCATCGATCCCTTCAGCGGTTGCACTTCAGCCTTCACCCGGCATGCATCTCTGCATCGGAGTCACGCCAAACGTGAGAAATCATCCAAACAAGATTGAGGATATCGTTGATTTGTTGGTTCTACCAGTACGGCCAGGCTTGTAGTGTATAGGCCTCAGGGAGGGAACAATTCTACGGAAATTGTATGAGTCACAAACCTGAAATAAGGAAGAATGGAGGAATCGTTCTGGGCAGAGTTGCAACCCCCCCCTTTGTGAGGCCCATGGCATTCGTCGTCAGTGTGGCCTTTTTTTTATCTCACCAGTGTGTCGAAAAACGCGCGCTCACATGCTCGCACGGGGAGGCTCATTCAAACTCTGCACTCGGCCTTCAATTCCCAGGACCCTTGGATGGTCAACCCACAGTCAACTACTAGGTCCTCCAGCAGAGAGGTCGGAGTAGGGGTACCAACTTTTTGATGTAGTCTACTTTTTAGTAGGGTCCCGAACCCTCCCCCCAAAAAAGGGGTGAGAGCTCGGGCACTGGGGAACCTAGACTATGAACCAGGACCTACCCGTTACCCCAGTCACCACGACTAGAACCTGGTTGAACATCCAAAGGGCCCAAAACGGCGGAAACCAGCTTTGCCCTAGCAGCGACTCATGACGTCAGAAGGATCCTAGCGAGCCACGCCCAACTAGATGGTCTTGGAGGGTTGCGTGGGAAATCCCATTTCCCCACAGACCCAAAAAATTGGCAACCAAGGGTAACCTGAAGACAGGTCTGCCACAAACCCTTGGCGCAAATGAGCTCTCTTAAACGCAGAAACCCAGTCGCTTGGCAGAACACGCGGTGGTCGCCCTTTTTGGCTCGCGGATTTTAAAGGGAAACCCTCCCAAAAAGGAGAACAACACCGTGGCAGAGAGCAACTGGGGAAAAAGAAGACTCGAGGAAAAAACAAAAAAAGGAAAAAAACAACAACAAACAAACTCCTTCAAAGACGCCGAAGCCCCGCTGGGGTGGGACTCAAGCTTAGGGGTCAAAGAGTGCAGCTGGCAGCTGTTCACATCTGAGCTGGGAAGACCGGCATGCCGTTCGCTAGCGCAAAACCCGAGCGGGGTTCTGGGGCTCACGGTGGGCTTCTGTGTGTCGTTTTTCAGGCGACCCCCCCCAAAAAAATATAAAATAAATCAAATAAAAACATAACATCAAAAAAAATCTCCGGCGATATCCCCAACAGCATGCGGTGCTCTTTTTAGTGCTCGCACCACCCTGCAGCCCTCGCAGACCCTGGTGGTGGAAGGTGGAACCCTGGTGCAACCCTGGTGCAACCCTCGTGGAACCCTCGTGGAACCCCGGACCACCCCGAAGCCTATCTGGGCTGAGACCCCATAAGCTTTCAGCTGTTGGGGAAAAAGACAAAGAAAGAAGCGGCTTTCGTTTTTCTTTGTGGGTTCCATTCAACCAGCCACCGCAAAAGGGGGTTTCTGAGCCTCACACCACTCACCACATCCCATCTCCTGAGCCTTTCTCCAAGACTTGGCCGTGCAACACGATGTGCTCCAGGCCTCGGACAAGGAGCTCGGGGGAAATAGATTTTGACCGAAGCCGTTGTTTGCTCGCACACGGGAGACTTCTTCGGGGATTTCTGCTCCTTAAAGTGTACACCGCAGTTTGTCGCTCCTTGCAACACGATGTGCCCCGTGTTCTTCGGGGGAGTTCTGCTGCTACACGGGTGCCCCTTGCGAGTTCCAGACAAAAGCGTCCACCAACCCCTGGTGTAGCCTCCACTGCAGTTTGCATCGGGTTCCGGCGGGTGAATCCGTCAGCAGAAGGGTGCCAGGGCACCCTACGGGTCTCGCACGAAGGAAAACGGGCATGACTCCATGACCCCCTCGAAGCGCAAAGCGCGATGCGCCACCATTTCGGGTAACCCCACTTTCCAAGGATCATGAGTCCAGGTGGGCAACCGAGCTCTTCTCTTCCAGATATGGAGCTGTTAAGGGGGATAACTTGGGCTTTCTGAACCCCCTAAAATCCTGAGCTTCGGACAAGTGTGTACCTTTTGGCTTCCCCTTGGATACCAACGTGTGTGTGTGTGTGTGTGTATATATATATATAATAATATATATATATATATATAATAATAATAATAATATATATATATATATGTATATATATATATATGCGTGCTAAGTTTTATTGGTCTATGAGCGGACACATGCTCACAAAATACCATGTGCCAGGTACCGCAAGGGGGAGAGATGCTCTTTGCCCTGCTTGAAGGCGACGATTTGCCCCTGACCCGAGGATCCGGGCAGAAGTCCCTGGGGAAGACCCATTGCACCTCCCAGGAATCTCCAGATCTCAAGGATCAACTCAACCGGACTCGCCAAGGGGGTAAGGGGGCTGGGTGGTTGAGAGCTCGGTTCGGGTTCCTTCGGGTTCCCGAACCGAACCCTGGAAAGCCTTAGCGACCCGTTTCTTGGACCCACACCCCTTAGGGAGTCCAGAAAAACACAAATGGATGTGTTCAAACCGAACCCTCCAACTAGCGCCTTCCGTCTGGTTCACTTTCAAACCCCAGCTTGAAGGCGCAAGTAAGTCATGTCGTATCAAAACCTGGTATTGGATGGGCTTGTCCAAAACCAGTGCTGAATGACCCAAAGGGCAGCCGGAAGAATTCATGTCTGGGACTCTCCCCTATCCCTATCCTTCTTCTACCCGAACCGGTTTTGATTGCGGCTCACTTGCATGGGTGTGTGGTGACCGAATCAAGGAATACACATCAAGCGCCAGGTGTTAGGCAAAGCGGCACATGCCTTTGCCCGGAAGATTTGTTCCTTTCCTATCTAGGAAACCTGTTTCCCACCAAAAAGTCTTTGCCTGAGGGTAGCGATGTTTTGGGTGGGCAATGTGGCCCAAGCAGCTGGTTTTTATGATTACTTCGTGCGTCTGTGGTCCCCCGAACGTCCTCCCTAATCCATAAGTACACTCAGTACAACTCATATTTTCAGCGACTCATGTCAAAACCTATCATTACTTGTTCACAACCTCCTTGGAAGCATCCTGGGTGCAGCTTCTGAAGGAGTCGAGCCCGAAAACCAAAGTCAAAAGGCCGGGCTCGTTTTGCCCGACCATGGCAACTGAGCTTCTTTGCTTTGTTCGGTCAACCAAAGAGCGACCCGACCTTGGCCGGTAAACTCGGTTCACCTTTTGGGGTCATGACTCATAACTAAGAATGGGCCATAAAGGGACAGATCCGGTCCCATCGCTTTGGGCAAGTGAGTACATGTTCGACATGGGCAAAGGAAACCACAAGCATCCCTGACAGAACCGAAGGAAGCCAGTTCACCTGATTTTCTACGGGTTTGTCTTGTAGGAACGGCCCCGAGCAGCCCTGCAATAGAAAAGCCCGCGTGGCGCGTTTTCGTTTCAGAAGTTGAAGAAGTGACCAGCCTTCTGGACAACCTGCTCAAGTCGGGGGTCTGATTTCCGGGGGGATATGACCAATCAGCTATGTTTTTTTTTGTTTTTTGTTTTTTTTCCGGGAACCGTTTGCTCTGACTCTTTCTTGAAACAATGAATCACCATGCGCTTGTTGTTTTTCTTCTTCTTTTTTAAGGGGACCCCACAGAGCGTAGCTTTCTGTGGCACCTTCAAACCAAAAAGCCGCGGTGGAAAAACACGGCCCAGCTGCCCCAACCCCGCCTCATCCACAAAGGTTTGGCCTGGCGCGTCCAAGCCTCGGCATCAGGCCGAGACCCAGCGACCCCTTCGTGTGGCGCAAAACCAAAAACGCGAGCTACGGCCGGTTGTGTTGTTTTTCTCATTCAGGGCCAGCTTTGTTTTGGTTCGGGTCTCCTCTTGTCTTCTTTTGATTAGTTTCTCAGTGCTCGTCATCGAGATTGGCCGCACGGATCAAAACAAAAGTGTGTCATAAAGGGCGTGTAAAAGGTGAGCCTAGGTTTGTGGTTCTAGGAGAAGCAAAAGAAATGCGCAAACAAGTGGGTTTTTGTTGGTGGCGTATCCAGACCTGGGGTACACAGAAAGTAAGATGTCCAGATGCTTCATATGTGGTTGACCCAAACAAAATAGCAATAGATTTAGATGAGACCCAAGACAATAGTGGCTATAACCCTGTCGAAGGGCCCCAAACCCAGGCCCCGTAGTGCCCTTTGAGATGGAGTTGAAAACGGTTTGCAAATCAGTCAAAACAAAACCATAGCCGTTTTAGATCAACGGCCGCAAACTCAAAGCCGCAAGGTGGTCTTGGCCCAGAAGAAACTTGCCCAAAACACATGGAAACAGAAGCTTGGAAACCTGATCCAACATTGGCCAAAGCTAGAAACCCACACGTCGATTCACTTGGGGCATTTTGCGCTGAACGGCAAAAACCTCCGCGAGCTCCCACGGAGTATTTCTCAAAGTGGGCTTTGCCCCCTTTTCGCGAAAACAGGGGCAACCCTGGATCTTCTGGCAAAAGAAAGGGAAACCATGGACCTTTCGGCAAAACAAAGGAAACCATGGACCTTTTGGCAAAAAAAAAGGAAGAGAACCATGCACCTTTTGTCACAGGACACCATGCACCTTGTGGCAAAAAAAAACAAAGAGGAACCCCTGACAAACCCGTTTAGCCCGAGTTCGTCCTTCGACCCGCCGAACCGCGCGGATGTTTTTTTGGCTTCGGGCGGCCAGTGGAGGGCTCCGAGCGCGAGAAGGAGTACCTGGCGCTCGGACTCGCCCGAAAACCCGAGAGCTGAGGAAGACTCCAGTTTTGGCCCCCAAGGAAAGGCCTCGAGTTGAGGAAGACTCAATTTTGTCCCCGGCCCGGTTCCCTAGCAACAGCTAGCCTCTTTCCAAGTTTCCAATCGCCACTCATTGTCCATCGCCCGAATGCAAAAGAAAACCGCGACTGAGTCACAGGACCTCAAGACGTTTACCCAAAATTGCCCAGATGAACATGGCAACCCAAACAGCCCACCCAGTTGTAGCGAACAATTGAAGGACCGGACCCCCTCTTAAGTTCCGTCCGTCAACGCGTCGGGGAGCCCAACATGATGGATCAAGCCCGTTTCTGGCTCTGGGAAACGGAATCCACTTCTGTGATACAACAAGGGCCTAAGACTAACCCCCCCTTTTTCGAAAGGGGATTCCCGAACGTATCACAGAAGTGGTTGGATAAACCCGAGTGATCCACCACAACCCTGATCAAGCCCGTTTGCGTTTCTGGCTGCTGCCTCAGGATTCCTGGGGCCCAGCGGAGGCCGCCCGGAGCCAAGACCCTCCCCTGGACTGGCCAAGGTCCCAATGTCAATCATGGAGATGGCTCCCTCAGTGAAAAAGCCAACATAAATGTTGTCCAAAACCCCATGTCAAATGAGTCATAATCAAAAAATATGGTACAAAAGGACTGCACTCAACACCTTGCAAAGAATCATCTGCCCGGGCTGTGATTGTGGCTGTGGGAAACGATTTCCATCTGGGAGGCCGCGCGACATGTTGATGCAGTCGCTGCCGTGCTTGAAAGTCCACTTGTTGGACATGTGAGCAAGCACCTCGGAACAAAAACTCTGGCCGCTTAGCCCAGCCTGAGGGCCCATCCCTACCTCCAAACTATGTCAGTCTTATACACATATACACGGCTATACATGCAAAACATGGCTGTATATATACATATATATGTATGTATACATATATATATATATATCTTTTGCTCCCTAGGGCAAAGTCTCCCAACTCGGCATCAGCTAGGACTGATTTCAAAGTCCACTGCATGCTCAAAAAGGCACTTCAGCATCAAGGTGGGACAAATTCAAAGTCCAACTGCATGCTCAAAAAGCACATTGGCATCAGCCAGGACCGATTCAAGGCCCAACTGGATGCTAAAAGAGGCACTTCCTTTCCATCTCTCCTATTCTGCGCAGCAAGCTTATCGCTCGCATCATGCACTGAAAAACTCGGCCAAACAACAAACCAAACAAACAAAAACTCACGAAACCCACAACAAGCCAGCACAGCCTGGGCTCTATGGCTTACAAACTCGATTCGGCTCCGGCAAACAGGCGAAAGCTCATGAAGGAAAAGCTGGGCACCAACTTCCTGAAGATAAAACTCCAAAGTGCGTGTTCGCGCCCACCTTCCCCGCCATGCGAGCAGTGGAATGTTCTCTGTGGCCAGATAGAGGGCCGTGGCGCCCGATCCTCTGAGCACCCCAGGTGTGGCGCCGCGCTCGGTCTGCTTTCGCGGGATCCCCAGACGATCCATGACAGCGTTCCACTGCCGACGGTACACTGCCATAGAAGCCGGGAAAAGCCGACACGAGGGTTCCAAAGCTCCAAAAAGTGCATAGCACAAACGAATGGCCCAAGGGTCGTCAATTTTGCTATGCTGTCTGCGGGCAAAACGGGCTGTTTTGGGCTGGCGCAAATGAATGTACAAACTCTGCACAGCACCTAACGAGTCTTGGGGGAACATCAAATCGGATCGGAGAAGTGGAACAAACTCAGCGGGGTGAAGCATTGCCAAAAATCCAATCACGGTTATACCAACCCAGGAAGGCCAGTCCCATAGGCTTGCTAAGCAGAACGCAGCTCGCAGCACAGGAGCTGACAGAACTGCGCGGCATGAGCCAGGTTCCTCTAACTGCCATCTGCCACGCGCCGGCAAGCTCATGCCTGTACTGCGGCCATTCGTCTTGCACAGCCGTCAAAGCATACACGAACATATATCTTGGCAGGCCAGAGGAGAAACAAGCCTTCCCGTTTTATCGCAAAGCCAAGGCGGTGCTTTCGCTTGAGGCCAAGACTCGCTCCGGGTCCATGTTTAGTTCCTGAGCAACCCAAACATAAAAGGCATCCAAACAGGTTTTCATCCTTTTGGCAGTTGCTGGCGCAAAACCGACAGCCATGTCGAGTTCACCTCTAGGCACACGTGGGCGATGTGGGCCAGGGTTTGGCTCAATGTCGCCCGCGAGCAGCAAAAGAAAACGTAGCCACCTTGCGGCATTCTTGGGGTAATGGCTGGCAGCAACTACGCGATCAAAACCGCTGACGTCACCTTGCTGCAAATCCACCAACCACTGGGGCTGCTCCCGAGACGGACCTGGGACTGGACGTCCTCGAGAAAGGCCATCGGCTCTGTTCCACGCTGATCGGCAGTGCAGCGCGCCAGGGTAGAGGCCACCCCCCAAGATGTACCCAAGTGAGGTTCGGAAGACCCGCCCCAAAGCAGAAGAGCTCGATCTGCCCTTTGCGCTGGCGCCAATTGTGACACGGGAATCAAGAAAGACAAGCAATCGTTGGCTCGGGTGCGCTTTGGAAGCGTGCTTTAACCAGCTTTTGTAGGTGCGAGCTTCTAGCACGTTGATATGGCCCGGGGCTTTAAACTTGTACCTAAAAAGTTCCTTAAAAGGCAAACTTTCACAAAGTTCAAAGACCCAGTCAGGATCCTCATGCCAAGGGCGAAACTCAGGGGTCACCTCTGGGAGAAGCGCAGCCTCCGGATGCAAACCTGCAGCCTGCCAAGCCTTTTCTCTGCGAGCCCGTGAGATTTCAACGGCCCCTTCTGCCAAGCACCGCGCCTTCCCCAGAGCAAACAACCGCATAAGAGCTCGCGGGTAAGTCGCAGCGTAGGCGGAGATACTTTCACCCACTTTGGGCATTCGGCCGTACACTTCCTGGGCAGACGGCTTGCATTGCGAGGCAAAGTTATCAATCAGTTTCTTTGTGAAATTTCCCTTTATCCTGAAATGGCTTCCCTTTCGCAGGCATGAGCACGGACCCTCCAAGGGCAACAGCCAAGGCCATGTTGAAGGCTTATTAAAAGCACTTCCGTAGTTGCAAAAGGCGTACGAAGAGATCACACAACCCTGAGCGACCAGTTGCGTGAAGATGTCCAAAGCAAACATGACAGAGGACCCTGGTTGCTCACAGCTTACAAATGCCCCGGCCCTCATAGCAAGCAAAAGCAAAAATGCTGTTCGCTGCGCTAGCCTGGTCTGCTCCAGCGTGGCCGGGTCAAAAAGCGAGAAACCTGCTGGCATCCGCCTTGAGCGCAGACGTGGAGGCCTGAGAGTGCCAAAGCTCCAACACGGGGGTCTGGCATGCCAATCGCCCACAACACCTCGCATGGCTAGGCTGGCAAGCTCATGGAAGATCGCATCTTCAAGCAAAGCCTTTGCGTGAAGGCTACGACCCTTTTCATTCATTCTCGGGTGAACCGAATACCCTTCATTGCTATGCTCCAGGGACCAATTGCCCGCTGGGGAAAACAACTCGATGCAATCATAGAGGCAGCCCTCCTTCAAAGCTGGCATCGGGCGTGAGCACGGCAGCGCAGCGGCGACAGCACTTGCTTCAGCTAGCTCATGGCCAGCAGCAGGCTCATGGTCAAGCCCCCTTTCGTGCAAAGCTTCACTCGCACCGCTCTGGAGATGTGTGTGAAAACCCCTTTGTTCAGTGTGGCGCCACAGTTCTTCAACAGCACTGGTTGTGAGACTACTGCGGCAAATGCCTGCTCCAGAGGGGCTGGCGTCCATCATATACACAGAAGGGCACACACATGCTCGTAGATCTGCCTGCGCGAGTGAGCCTAACAAACTTAAGCACAGCAACTCATTGCGGGAATGAGGGTCAAGGCAGAAAGGCTCGTCCGGGCGTAATGCTTTTCCAGCATGGAAGATTGCGTTCATTACAGAAAACAAAGGCCGTCGAAAGAGGCACACATGGATCCAGCAACCTGTCACACATTCCAACAACTGGCGCGTCACCACACCCCCCTGCACAACTAGCATGGTAAGAAATAACAAAGCGGCAACTCTGACACGAGGGGCGCCAACTTTACCACGGTCCCCCTCAACCTCGGCCCCCACTACTACCGCCGTGGCCTCCTTGCGGCGCACTTTTCCGGGATGAACAACTAGGCCGCGTTTTCAAAAACAACATCACTCCGAGTGCGACCGCCAACATTGAGCTCCTTGCGCTTGAGTATCTCAACGCCTATATGGTCGTCAATTGTCAAGAGTTCAATGAAGGGTGACCGAGGTATGGGTCTGCGATGCATGAGTGTTTCGTGAGCCCTCATGCAAGCGGCGCGAATCCTCAGAAGGTTGACGTGAGATTGCTGGGCAATTTCCACGGCAAGCCCATCTCCCATTGCAAGTGTGCGTAAAGCTATGTATACCGGAGAAGTGTGCTTGCTGGAGCAAAAACAGTTCAGGCGCTGAACCTCGGACGGCTGGAAAGCAATGCCAATTGCGTTTCTAGAAGCCCGTTTTGCAGAAACCGCAAAAGTGTAGTAAAACTCTGACAGGTCGTCCGAAGAGACACGTAGCGCCTCATCTTGCTCAAGCCGAAGCAAGGACAAAAGATGGCCGGGGGCTATGGTCTTAGTGAAAGCGTTGCGTCCATGCATGCGGCTGTTAATGACTGTGGGGTTTACAATTAGCCGATCAAATTCTGCGTCCTTGCTAACAGCAAAAAGGCCAACTGCTTCTTCACGAGGCACTGAGTGCGTTGGGATCAAACAGCATGCGCCCAAAGCATCCCACTTGGCAGCGAGTGCCAAAAGCTTGCTCTTCGAGCAATGAACTTTTGCCCGGGGAAGGACAGGCCACTGCGAGGGGTCCTTTCTAAGCACATCCGGGTCATCGGAAGCAGCTTGCACAACAGGGTCACTGAGGTACGGTCTAGGGTCAAACCGGGGCCCAAGTTTCCACTTAATGCGTGAAGCTACGACTTCCTTTGCAGGGCAAATGTTCACACGCGTGCTAGGAGCTGAGCGAACACACTCTTGGTGGTCGGACTGTCTCTGCTTGACTGCTTCAAGATCAACATCCTGGCCGGGTGAAAAGTCAGGCGCGTGGCTGGGCCTGCTGTAAGCGTCAAAGGCTTGGTGGATATCACTGAAAAAACTATGCAAGTCGCCCAAGGGGACCCTACATGTGGGGAGATCTTGAAGCGCACAAAACAAATTCCCAAACTTCTCACCAGCTCGTCCTAAATCTCCTGTAGCCACAACAGGAGCAGCCAAGAAATGTGTGATGAGGCCTTCCAGGCGTTCCACCATGTCCAACTGTGCATCAGACATGGCAGCGCCAAGGCAAGCGCGCGGCGGGGGCTCCAATGGGTGCCCAAGCGTCAACCAGTTCAAACAGGCAACTACGCGCTGCAAGAGCTTAGCACGGGCCTCGTGGAACCGCCTCCGCTTTCGCCTCTTTGGTGAAAGTTTGGTTGGGCCCGTCCAACGCCACTGTGGTGGGGGACAGGGCCACAGATCGCGTGACCGTGATGGCCACGCGTGACCATCGGGAGCGGGTCGCAAGCTTCGCTCAATAAAGCGCGAAAGCCCAGTGTGGCATGAATGCATGAGCTTCAAACAATGCAGCGTCAGCTCAACAATGTTAATTTCGTCAGGGAATCCCTGTGCTTGCATTTTCGGGGGCACGTCATCAAGGCTAGCGGAAACTGAAGTATCAGAGTTGGTACCTTGGGTAGCACACTGCTTTTCAGGCTTCTGCTGCTTCTTGAGATTCGCTCCCCGACTTCTGGCTTCACTC